GGCCATGTCCATTGCTATCCCCATTTTGGTGGGTCAAATCCCGAAAATCACCCCATGAAAAATACCCAGGGCCTTCGGGCCTTCGTCATCGGCCAAAAGGGGGTTAACACTTGGGTTTATCCCGAAGTATCTAAGTTGGTTGCTGACTACAATACTCATAATAATTATAGGGTTTATGAGGAAATACATGTATGTATGTGTAATATGTGTAAATGTATGGATAGTTAGATGATAGTTAGATGATTCTATTAGATGGGGTTCTAATCCAACTTACAAATTGGTGGGACGCAACATTGGAGCTATTTTAAAGGCAATTTTCATGTGGGTAGAATTGCTTTCTGGAAGGCCAACCTGAAAAAAACAATTCCTCAATTGAGCTGTGTGACATATACATATATAATCATATACATGTATAAAATTACTATATATATTCTCTGTCCTTATTTAAACAAACGCGATTCCCGGTTTAAATTATGATAATCCCAATAGTCCCTTCACGGGTAGAAAAAAAAACGCAGGATCCCCCTACATTCCACCAGGCTTCTGGAGGTATTGAATTAGGAAGAAGGGATTACTTGCATTTTGCAGGAAGGAATTATATAGTTGGATTTGCATGGATTTGCATCCTACTGGTTGTTGCTTTTTTTTACAGTACAATGTGCAATGAAAAACTATAGATGGGATAGCCCTACGAAGGAGCTTGGTTCAAGGGAAAACCACTCCTTTTTTTCCCAAGAAAAAAATGGATGTGTCAACCATCCAAGTCCAAGAACATGGTGGGAAAATAAACCAAACATGACCATCTCAACAAAAAAACCATGGAAAATCACCATATGGCTGATGTTCTCACATTTTGGCCAATTAAAACTTGAATTTCTAGATATTTCTTGGGGAAATCCCATGATCATCACCATGAGTAGCTCTTCGCATCGGCGTGGATGGCTTGAAACCGTGAAACACGCCGCAGTTGCAGCGAGAAAAACATGTGGAGCCTTCCTGGTAACCTTTGTAGGTAAAAAGAAGTGGTTACCTGTCCCAGAGCTAACTGGAAGGTGGTACAATAACTTGAAATGCGTTTTTATGGAGGATATAATTATACTATAGTTCATAGGGCAAAATGGCTAAAATATATATTGGCTAAGCCAACATGAAAACATCACTGGGCACCACCTTGAAGGAATGACTGGTAGTCAGCAAAATCTCTGCCTGGTGAATTGTTCACATCACTATGTAAAATAGGCAAAAGATCAAACACCATTATTACAAAACATTATAAAAATCACAAAAAAAAACAGAACACCTCATTTAACAAAAAGTGGAACAACTACTGGTAAAATAGATCAATCATCAAAAAACAAACATAAAACATCTAAGATATGGGCAATGTTCCTCCATTTTCCATATAGCTACCTTAAAAGAAGGTGGTGAATATGATGAAAAATATTGTTTATTACCACAGGATGGGGCCCCCAAGATAGCTAAGTTGCCTTATAAGTGCATGGCTTAACTATGGTTTATGGTAGATATAACGAACTAGTTATTGGGAATTATAATTGTTTAGAAGCCAACTTATAACTATGGGGCCCCATCCTGCAATAACATGATGATTTGTTTGAAAATACCGATTCAATAAACACCAATGTGAAATTTTTGAGAAGGTTCAAAAAACAAATCCCCCGCTACAACAAGAACTCGATTCGGGTCGAGTTCGTTAAAAATCACCAGCCGCCTATAGACAGCGTCATATCGTTGTAACCAATGGAGCCATATCCCATATGCGAACCATGGTGCTGGTATATTTACCATCTGGTTATTTAACATAGCCATGGAAAATGGCCCATTCATAGATGGTTTACCTGTTAAAAATGGTGATTTTCCATGGCAAACTGTTAAATATCCAGAGGGTACCATTATTTACCTACATGAATGGGTGATTTTGGACAAGGGCAAATGTTGTTGTACCCGGCCTGGTAATGACTAACAGTTTGCTATTGAAAATTGCCATAGGAATTTTTGATTTACCCATTAATAGCATGGTGATTTTACACAGTTATGTAAACGTTTACCAGAGGGTAAACATGCATAAATCACCATATTTCCCATATATTTCCAATATATAAATCACCATATTTTCCATATATTTCCCGTTAGTAAACCTCCATGGTTCGCATATGGGTTTTGTATCTATTCACACTCCAAGAACTTCTCCGGGACGAACATATTTAGCCACCAACTCTTGATCTGCCTGGGGAATTTGAGGGCTATGGGTCTAGTAATCACGCCTTAGAAAAATAAACAAATCTAACAACCTTGACTAGGATTGAAATTTTAATTTCCGACCATTTTGGCGCTTGAGTTTTTGCGGTTATATGGTGTTCGAAGTGTGATATCTTCGCCGTTCCACATGTGTTTCTGGTCACCGAAGTGTCGGCTTGGGCAGTGGGCCACGCAGGCCTAGCAGATGCCATGAATCATGTCATGTACCCTCTGGTTATTTAACATAGCCATGGAAAATTGCCCATTTATAGATGGTTTACCTATTAGAAAATGTGATTTTTCATGGCAAACTGTTAAATAGCCAGATGGTAAGTCCAGTTTTCGGATGCCATGCGTCAATTCTAGCACTCCTAATTGAGGTGCATGTATTCTTGTCCTTGACGTCCATTGGAAATATTGTGTCTTACCCGAAAACTCAGTATAATCAGTAGAGCACAACTGTATACATTTAAACATACACATGTATAGACACAATCTACGAATAAATGTATATAAAAGGTGGGAAACCAAATAATAAGCCTACCATCTGGGGAGGGTTTGTAAAACCCTGGTGATTTTTGGGATGGCTTCTTGGGTTTACTACTATGGAGTTCCTGTACATGACATCTTGTTTCAGTCCTGCACACCGGAACCTAAGTCCTGAACATTCCTCGGTTTCAAAGTGATCGACTCGACGTTCGACTTGGAAAAACATCACCAAAATCGAGAAAAAACACTCACAAAGGTACCCAAATGCTCCATGTATGGAATATTTACTAACATTTGCCCTAAAAATCACCCAGTCATGTAGGTAAATATACTATACATGGAGCATATGGGGTATAGGGATTAAATAGAAAAAACTGAGTGTTGGTTTTAATTACGATACTGCATTTTGGATTTATGATGAAAGGGTGAATGAACAAAACAACTTGGAACAGTTTGGACTGTGGATGGATCTTCATATGTATTGACCCATCACTGTGTGGGTTCAAAAATAGCTTGCCCTATTCCATCCAACATGACAAAACCATACAAAATCCATTTTAATTGTATTTATCCTCTTGTTATTTAGCAGCTATGGAAGCCATGGCCCATTTAGTTCGATGATAAACATGATGGATGTTCACAGCTCTGTTACTAAAATTGCGCGTGAGGGGATCATCCCCATTTTAAAGAATCATTAATATAACATCATATCTATATATATACCATAACCCATAGGATCCATGGTACTGGTAAATAAGCTAACACTGGGGGTATATTGATGGGATCCATGTTACCATATATAGCATGCATGGATCCTATGGGTAATATTATTACTTAAATCATGTTCTATTTAAAGTCGGGGATGTTCCCTTTATTTTCCAATGATCTTCCGAAACAATTTCCGTCGACTCGTCTCGTCGTGAATTTTGTTGGTTCCATGAACCCAGCCATGGCTGCAGCGCTGGAAAGGCTTGCCGGTCGTTTCGAGACAACCAGTCGTGAAAAACGGCGCTGGCCGTAAAGTCGTGAAGCTTCAGGACTGAACTAGGGCTACAGTTATGGCAGTTTACCAATTATAAATGGGTTATAATTGGTTATAAATCGGATGATACATTCCATAAAAGGGGTGACTTAGTACTTATAACTGCTATTTCGGGCGAAATCACCAAGGATTGCATTTTTCTTAATGGAAAATCATTGGAAGATCATGCGGTTTTCATGGGAAAATCAAAAAGGGAAAACATGGGAAGACACCAGTGGATAATGGTTAAATGTCCATGGGACACCACAGGAAAATCATCTATAAATGATAATATAATGAGAAAACACATACTATGAGGGATATGATATAACCATCAAACAACTGCACCCAATGGAAATGTAATGGGGATCATATTGAACTATTTTGCTTAAGGGGCGCTTTTACGAATTAACAAATCTTCCATGTAGATTCCCAGTCATGGTGGAATTCATCTTATTACCGCAAATTCAATCTTTCGCCAAAGAGTTGGGAGTTTGACAAATCGCTACAAAATACTAGATTAAGAACTTTTAAAAAATGAGTAGGTCTATGTATTATGTATATATTATTATCATATATATATATACATATTTATTTATTTATGTATTTATTTATTTATCCTCAGGCCGCCTGGTTCGCCGTCGCTGTTATCGACAATGTTGTGGTGGGTTTGGGGTGGAGCGCAATAACGTTCCAAGAGGCTGTCCTGAGCCATTGCGTCGTTAGGGTGGGCTGGCTATCGATTGGTGCTGTGGTTACTATACATTTTCAGGGTAGCGTTGCTACGTTGATGCTAGATCGTTACAGTTGCTACATTGATGCTAGATTGTTGCTACGTTGTCAGGAAGGGGTTGCTGCATTGGTGCTAGATCTTTGCTGCATTTTCAGAGAAGGGTTGCTACGTTGATGCTAGATGGTTGCTACGTTGTCAGGGAGGGTTTGCTACATTGATGTTACGTCGTTGCTACGTTTTCACACACAACCAGGACTTCAAACAGTCCTCCAAGCACTGCAGGTGTACAGAAGAATATGTTCCAAAGGAATCCTGCGAACTAGCCCTGCGAAATGCTAGCAAAGAAGCTGCCGTGGCTGAGCTGATGTGTCAAACAATGGCATTGGAGGCGATGGCGAATATATTTATACAGTTAAGGCCATTTATTAGTTATAACTGGTTATAACTGGGATGATAAATTCTATAAATGGGGTTGTAAGTACTTATAACTGGTATTTCGGGCCACAACTGTAGGGCCCCAGCCATAGCTTCACCGTTCACGCCCACGGTCTCATGACCTTGGAAGCACGGATCGCGGATCACGCGAATCGTCGACGTCCAGGGGTGAGACCGATGGTGAACGAGTTGATTTCGCGAAGGGGACGCGGAAGAGACGCCAGAAGTTGGTGTAGACCTTGCCTCTCCTCGGCTCCGGTGACTAATTTCCGGGAGAACGATTTGAGGTCGCGAAAAAGACCAGGTAAAGTAGTGCTTTTATGGGGATTGCATGGTTATGTTGATGATGGCTAAGTTGGTGGACAAAACTACTTTGTTACGCTTGAGTTTATAGAAGGCCTGAAACTTCCACGAAGAGAAAGGCTGGGCCAAAATGTTGGGATACTCTGAAGACCAGTTATAAGTACTTATAACACCATTTATAGAATGTATCATCCCAGTTATAATTAACCAGTTCTGACTAATAAATGGCCTTAACTGTATAAGCTGGTTCTAACTGTTAAGGGCCAAAAAACTCTGGGGAGTGTCATCGAGCGTCAAGGAATCGGAAGAGTAATGGGAACCGCTACCACCTGAAAAGCTGACCCAGCAAGGGATCCATGTTATTATGTATGATGATATTATATATACAGTATATGATGATATATGATTATCTATACACATATAGTATGTAATTAAATGATATATATATATATATTACATCAATGTATGATAATATATACATAATATATATATATATAAATACTACGTAGAGAATGCTCTGTAGTACAGATGTTGATGCTGGTGAAACCTGCCTTGAAATCATTTGACTGATGCCCAGCTGCATTCGGGGGGTGTTACCCTGTTACCTTTGGTTGTGGAACTTGGGGACGGACACTGAACTCAAGCGCCAGTGTCGTGCCATCTTCGTTTTTCATCTCGGTGTCATCATTTCGCTCACATGGCCTTAGAACGAAAAACTGCATGGAAAACCACGGTCAAGACCTGACCGTACTTCCGGATTCATAGACTAGGTATTACTGTATTACTGTATTTTGAAATGTGATTAACGAGGATGACCGTCGTAATAAACCTTCAGGAACTTCAATCCCATGGTGAATTTGTAGATTTTAAAATCTATATTACTAGACAGTATAATATATATATATATGATATATGCATATATATATAATATAATATAATATCATATCATATCATATAATATAATATATTAAATATAGTATTGTTTAGAGAATATCAGGTTTACATCACCACCTGCGTAATGTAAGACCAAAAGACAAAAAGGTCATGAAATGTCAGGGCCCCAGTCAGGGCGCTGGGAACCCACATGTTTTTGGGATCACCTTTTAAAGAGGATAGCCTTTCTTGCCGGTGCGGAAAGTGAAGGGTTATGGGAAATCCCGTGAATGTGAATCGGGAGGTCATTTTTAATGAATCTTTGAGTCCTGAACTGAAAACCTTGGCATTCTCGCTGATCATTCACCCTCGAGATATACCAACACTTACATCCTGATGTCCTCCAGTGATGCCATCATAGTTCACATCATTCATATCACCCCCGGTACTAGTCCCATGAGCACCACATAACCCACATCAATGAGTATTTGTCGACATTGGGGCACACCTTGGTTTCCCTATTTTAGCGCTACAACTCATTTGGATGAATTTGAGGTCCCCCAATTGTCAGACACGCCCACGTCTTACAAACCAACCCAACTGTAGATCAATCTTAACTAACCGACCTCCTAACCGACTTACTTCCACCAGCTTAGCCAAGTGGGGGCACCATGTAGCATAATTTCTTGAAAACAATTTACGAGAATCCCTATAATCCTCAGTTTTTCATGATTGATTAAATTCCACCTCTTTGTTGTGTCAAATCCAACATGTTGATGCTTGCCTGCAATGTTTTTGTCCACCTCCCTCATTGGTCATATATATATATATACTGTACATTTATATATATACACATGTATATTCCAATTTACATAGTTACATGTTCCCATTACATTCCAATCATATCATTGTGGATAGGTAAAAAACCCGCAAGCAGGCAAAGAGTGTGTGTCTGCGCAGCCCCGCATACGCCAACACGAAGGAGAAGCTGCGTGTAGGGTGTCTACAGAGTCGACAGCTCTTAAATTACAATGGAACCCCACAGGTAAGGCCATGGCTATTAGTGAAATAACTGGTTAATTATAAATGGGATGATAAATTCTATAAATGGGGTGACTTGTTAGTACTTATAACTGGTATTTCGGGCCACAACTGCAAGAATGGGATCCTGAGTTTCTCATTGGATATGAGAACTTTTGGGTAAAAAGAAGTTGAAGTACTTCTTAAGATGTGAAAAAAATGAGTTTTGTATTTGGTGATCACCAATTTTGTTCTTCGAGTCAGGTATCGGGTTTGACCCACAGCATCCCGTAACAATACATAATTCATGCCATAGCTTAGGAAACTCATGCGGTGCGGTTTCCCAACGAATTTCGTCCCTGTTCAATCCAACCCCCGGTTGAAAAGCAGTGGTTTGAATCTGCTTCGTGTCTATTCATTTCAAGTTCTTACGGATGATCTTTGGGTGTACAAGATGCATTCCCAAACACATCCCCATTCTCCCCTATTGATTCAAATCCAATGAAATATCATTAAATCAATCCCATTGAGATGTTCCTAATGTTGAACCAAACAATACCTCAAAATCTCAACTAAAATCACCGAACAATTTTCCACTGAATCCACAGACGTCCACAGTTAAGGCCATGGCTATTACTTATAACTGGTTATTTCTATGGGATTATACCATCTGGTTATTTAACATAGCCATGGAAAATCACTTAAAAATGGAGGTTTTAATGGGAACATCATCCATAAATGGGCTATTTTCCATGGCTATGTTAAATAACCAGAGGGTACATTCTATAAATGTGGTTTTGTTAGTACTTATAACTGGTATAACTCGGGCCATAACTGCAGGTGAAATGACTTGGCCCGGCTCGGGCTCGGTTGGCTCCAGTCCGGCGTCACGGTGGTACTGGAGCCGCCACGGCCGGAGACGGTTCCGGAGAGGCTTCCTGGGAGAAGCCAACCAACCAAGGTGAAGCAACGGCGATTTGACGTTTGTTTAATCATGGGATTATCATAGGTAAGTGGTAAATTATAGCAAATGATCATGTAAAAATCATGAAATTATATGGTAAACATATCTATAGTAATGGGTGAGTGATTATTTATAGTGGGTAAGTGGTGAATAAACATAGTTAAAAGCCAGTTATAGATTCGATAATAACCCACAAATTGGGGACTATTCACAAATATATGAACTCAATAGAAAAATCGACCATGCCATAGACCATAATTATAGTTAAAACCATAAATCTGGGTAAATTATAATATTTCACTAACCTGAATTAAGGCCATTTGGGGATGTTTTCCCTTACTAACCATGGTTCCAGTGAGGTCGCAGTGAGGTCGTTATAATTCACCCAGAAACCATATAGTTAAAACCATAAATAGTTAAAGCTAGTTATGTTCAGCAACTTAATCATGGGCCTCACCTATTCAGATCACAAACCTTTACCGTGCGGAGTGCCCGGCCGTTTATCGGCGACGGACATTTCGAGCCAATCAATGGTGGTTGTTCTGGTGGGGATATCTCGCTTAAAAATGGGGTGAATTTACGATGAACAAAATAAAAAGGGTAATGAATTACCATCTGGTTATGATTAACATAGCCATGGAAAATCCCCAAAATAAATGGAGGTTTCTAGCTGGTAAAATCATCTATTTCTATGGGCCATGGCTTCCATGGCTATGTTAAATAACCAGAGGGTAACTGAAATGTAAACTATATGCAACCTAGGCAACAGATAGGCATTTCATTGAACAAAACTTGGTACGATCTACCGCTTGCGCGGCCAGAAAGAACAAGTTACTGTCCCAGGCCGAGTGGCTCTCCGATTTCCCAACGCTAAGATTCCTTGGTGTTGGCAATCGGCGCTAGGTGATGTTTTTTGTTGGGATTTTCCAGCGAATAAGCATCCAGGGTAGCCCCGTTGATGGAAACCACCAAGGCAGCCTTTTTGGCATCTGTCGGGCCTTGATATATCCTGAATGTCACAAACCCTATAGCTATATAGCCAAAGTAGCTAGATTAAATGAACTACTCTAGCCTATATATGGCCCAGGCCAGCAAAGACCCCTCCCCCCCACGTCGTGGTCATGCTTCTATATGCTTCTGTAGGAAGCTCTATGTAGGATATAGTTTACACACCCCGCCCCACTGGGCTAGGTAGTATGTCACTAGCATGTAAGGCAAAAAGTCGGTAGTATGTGGCTAGCATGCTCCACGCCACGCTTGGGGGATGGGCGGGGTGTTATAGAGGTACCATGTAGATAGTGTATAGGTAGCACATGGCTAGCACGTATGTATAGAATATGAGATCTTCAGAGTAGCTAGTACGTGGCTACAATACACGTACTGTATATACAGCAAAAGGTTGTAAATAGATTGCATGGGCATACAGGTACTGAACCCTGCAGGTATCGTGTAGATAGTGTATGTAGTAGTACATGCCTAGCATGTATGGATAGCAGATGAGATCTTGACAGTAGCTAGTACATGGCTACTATAAAGATACTGTATGGGCTGTAATAGATTGTAAATAGATTGTATGGGCTGTATGGTATAGGCAGTGTACCGTGAACCCTGCACGGATGTATCATTTGGGTAGTGTATAGGTGGCATGAGGCCAGCATGTAACTATAGCACATGGATGGTGGTCTGTGGCCAGGCCACCAGCATGAACACTGGTATGGGGGGGTGGATACCATGGGGGAAGGGGGTTGCCGGCCGCTGGCCGGGACCATATATAGATAGATAGATAGATAGATAGATAGATAGATAGACAGACAGACAAACAGATAGATAGATAGATAGACAGACAGACAGACAAACAGATAGATAGATAGATAGATAGACAGACAGACAGACAAACAGATAGATAGATAGATAGATAGACAGACAGACAAACAGATAGATAGATAGATAGACAGACAGACAAACAGATAGATAGATAGACAGACAGACAGACAGACAAACAGATAGATAGATAGACAGACAGACAGACAAACAGATAGATAGATAGATAGATAGATAGACAGACAGACAGACAAACAGATAGATAGATAGACAGACAGACAAACAGATAGATAGATAGATAGATAGACAGATAGATAGATAGATAGATAGACAGACAGACAGACAAACAGATAGATAGATAGATAGATACATATACATAATATAATCATCAATATAATGTTGTCTAGCCAATAGTGATGTCTCGTCAATAGTAGAAACTTTTTTCCCAACTCCAATTTTTTCTCCAATACTAAAAGTCAATTAGCTCCATTTACTTTTAGTATTGCCAAAAGAGTCATGTTCAGACCTTGTCCAGAGGGCATGGCCAATAGTGGACCCAACATGGCAATAGTGGAAACTTTTTTCCCAACTCCATTTTTTTCTCCAATACTAAAAGTCAATTAGCTCCATTTACTTTTAGTATTGCCAAAAGAGTCAAGTAAAGCAAATCCTTTTCAAAGCAGCCTTCACTTTTGACTAGCAAAAGCTTAGATTCCAGAAATCTGATCCAATTACCAAACAGCTGATTTCCTTATAAAACCCTTATTAAAAAAACCAAGAAAACAGGTCCACAAAGGGTACCCCCTTTGCAAGCCCCAGAATAGCAATAACAAACCTGCACCAGGCATGGCAATAGTGGAAACTTTTTGCCGCAACTCCAATTTTGTTGTCCTCCTTCTCCTTCTCCTTCTCCTCCTTCTTCTCCTTCTTCTCCTCCTCCTCGTCCTCCTCGTTCGCCTCCACCACCTCTGCCCCACTTCCATGATCCCATCAGAAAACAAACCAAATCCATACAGAATCTAACAGAAACCAACCCTAATCCATGCAGAACCTATGCAGAACATCTCAGAAATCCAACCAAACCCTATGCAGAATCTAACAGAAACCCAACAAAACCATGGAGAATCTATCAGATACATATCATGATCCCAGCTATAGATTCCCAAAAATTATTATGGGAAGGTTGACCCCCCCCAAAAAAAAATAGGGGGGTAATTACTATTAGGCAGCCAACATTATACTATTTATATATATATTCTACAGACATATTCAAATAGGATTGAAGAATGGCTAAATATCATTATATATCATTGTTGTATCACATTGTTTATCATTATAAACTACCCCTTTAAAAAAAAATAAAAAAACGAGCCGAGCACCACCCTCCAACGACCAAGACGCCTGTTGCTCAGGTCGCTGAAATTCCAGGAGAGTTGCAGGGAGCGCCCCGATGGCGGCGGCATCGACGGCAGCGACATCGGGACGTCGCGGACGTCGCCGTCCGCGTCGCCGTCCGCGTCGCCGTCCGCGTTGCCGAGCTCTTGGGCCCCGGTGCGAGCTTGGCACTCTTTGGTCTCCTGCGTTTCGGCGGAAGTTGGCTCCAAACATATAGGATATGAAGGTAATTACAGATGTATATATAGTATATATATATATGTAAATATATGTATATGTATATATAATATTATAGATATGGAAATACAATGGGGGAACAACATTCTGTGAACAACCGTTTTAATCCTGAGTTTTCAACGGAAAATCAAAGCGCATGGCATCCCAATCCATTCAGAATTGGGGGTCCAATTGGGAATCAATTTAGCTATAGCTGGAAAGTCCCAAACTAAATGGAAGACTTCACGGGAAACACCTCGGACTATTGCCGGTGGATTTTCGAGCAAGCCATGATTGATGACACCAGACGGTAATGGGTCATAAATTGTATAAGGTGAGGCCAGTCCCCGGGCGTGTCTCGTCTTCACCTCTTAATTTGTAGTTTTTTGTTTGGTCGTTTTGTTTTTTAATTCATGATGACAATCTTTGGTGGGGATTTCACGTGTAGCTGGTTGTCTCTACCCGCTGTCACACAGCACTAAAATCAAAGGCGAAAAAAATTACTCTACTTCGTGTGATCCCCACCATGACATGTCAGGACGTATATTTGGACATATATTTAGTATATTCTGACATCCTATCTGACATATATTCTGGCATATATTCTGGCATATATCCTGACATTCCACCTGGCATTCTATCTGGCAGTCTATCTGGCATTCTATCTGACATATTTTCTGACATTTCATCTGACATATATTCTGGCATTCTAACTGTCATTTATTCTGACATATATTCTGGCATTCTATCTGACATATATTCTGGCATTATATCTGACATATATTTTGGCATTCTATCTGACATATATTCTGGCATATATGTTGGCATTCTATCTGGCATTATATCTGACATATATTCTGACATTCTATCTGACATTCTATCTGGCAGTCTATCTGGCATTCTATCTGGCATTCTTTCTGGCATTCTTTCTGGCATTCTATCTGGCATTCTATCTGGCATCCTATCTGCCATTCTATCTGGCATTCTATCTGGCATTCTTTCTGGCATTCTTTCTGGCATTCTATCTGGCATTCTATCTGGCATCCTATCTGACATTCTATCTGGCATTCTATCTGGCAGTCTATCTGACATTCCTACATGAGGTCCGGCAGGGAACACTTGGCGTGGATACTCGCAGTTGAGGTCCGGCAGGGAACACTGGGCGTGGATGGTCGTGGTTAAGGTCCGGCAGGGAACACTGGGCGTGGATGGTCGTGGTTGAGGTCCGGCAGGGAACACTGGGCGCGGATGGTCGTGGTTGAGGTCCGGCAGGGAACACTGGGCGTGGGTGGTCGTGGTTGAGGTCCGGCAGAGAACACTGTGGATCGCGGGTCGCAGTTGAGCAAGGACGACAAGGATGACAAGGAGGACGAGGAGGAGGAGGACGAGGCAGGAGGAGGCGGAGGAGGAGGAGGAGCAGGAGGAGGAGGAGGAGCAGGAGGAGCAGGAGGAGGAGGAGGCAACTGACATAAAATCTAACAACCCTCACCTGGCAGGTGGGGAAAAACAATATTAGGGCTACCAACCCCCAACTAACTGCAAAAAAAACCTGCCACACAAGGGGTTGGAAGACTACTTGCCTCATAGAATTGCTAATTTCTTGGGGGCAACTCGATTTCTCCTTGGGAGACGCTCCAAAGTGCCTAGGTGTGACTGGTCATGACGGTGGGTTTGGTGGTGGAATAAATCTACGCAAAGTGGAGGATGCAACCTTCGAGGTGTGTGTCTTGTAAGTGACAAAACTAGATAAAGTATAGCAGTGAGTATATATGTGAGAAATTTAAGTAACCATTTGACCATTTTTTTCGGGCCTTATTGTAAATACTCACAGGTAGGTACTCACTCATAAACCAGAAATTACAGGATGGGCCCCCTAGATAACTGGTGGAAATAACGTTTGGGCATGTTTGAAAATGGGCTTTGCCATATCTTCTTGGTGAGTCATGGGTTTCTGTAATCTCTGTTGGATGATTCCGATGTTTGATTCTTAGAACTTGGATAATATGTTATCTTAGATGATCTACTGGTCGGTGGTTTTAACCATGTCAATGGAAAGGATTATCTCATATACTATGGAAAATAAAAGTGTTTGAAACCACCAACCAGTCTATGATTCAGATATATTTAGACTTAGATGTTATGTTTTGATGATATCATTTTTTAGCAGGAGAAAAACAACAACTGGTCCTTGACGGAGTCCTTGATGGTGATAAAGTACCATAAAGGCGCTACCAAAGATTTCCATTCCAGTTGAAGCCACCTAACAAAACAATTGTTTTCATAACCATTAGTTAACCATTAGTAAGTTGACCATTAGTTGGTTATTAACAATTATTAACCATTCGTTATCGAGCATTAGTTACTAACAATAATATCCTGATTCCCACTTAGCAAGCTAACCACCTGGGGCAGATTGCAAATGGGATTGAACATAGCCATAACTGAGGGTAAATCCCACATTTCAGACACCCGTTCTGCTCCATATCATGCCATGTCATTGCTGCATCCACTGTACCCACTAACATAATCCTCACTGTTTATGGAGAATTCCCGTTGATCCATTGATAAATTTCCGTTTTTCCTTTCCACCTGTCCACAATATGAAGGACCCATGATCGTATCTCCATTACATCCCCCATTTAGTTCGATGACTCTCCCACAACATATCCCATGATATCAATGGCCATGACTCAGGAACCGATTCATTGGAGGTACCTACCATATATGTTTGGCCTATTTTTTAGGCCTAAATTTCAGGGAATATCCCCACAATTCATATGGCCAAACATATGGTACGTTTACGTACCTCCATGTATTGGATCCTGGAATGACCATTGATGATATCCCACTGGTTCCCCAAAATCCAGTGATCCCATTAGATCTCCTGTTTTTCATTGTTAATCAGTTTGCGAACTGGAAGACATGGCCCATTTAGTTCGTTGATTTACCCATTAATAGCATGGTGATTTTCCACAGTTATGTTAGTTTTTGTATGTTTACCAGAGGGTAATCCCTCAAGAAATCCCTATCGATTGTTAATAGATAAATCCCATAAAACAAACGATATCCTCCCCATGTTTCTTGCAACAGATTCACAATTCTTCCAACAGAAATCGCTCATTCAAATCCCGCACCAACGATCTCTTCCACCATGTTATCCACCAAAAAAAGGCCACATCAAAAACAGCCCGAAAGCGCTTAAAGCGGCCCAAGAGGCTCAGTGGGTCGCCCCAAATAGCTCTGTATGACCTGCTCCTTAAACTTCTGTAAGCTATTGATGCCTCGAGTTGCATAGTCGGCATCCGCCTGAGATTGAAAAAGGGCCACAACTGGATGGAGATATCCACAACGTGGTGCCCCAGTTCGATAGCTAAGTTGGTGAACATAACTACAATAAGTAGGACTTATGGTAGATATATCGAACTAGTTGATGGGGGTTAAAAACTAACGTTCACATAACTGGGGGTGTACCACATTGTAGGGTTGTAAGCTGGTGAATGCCAATGTCTATATAAACTTGTGAACCCCGATTTATTGAAGTGATTTCCAAGTTGATGGGAGATACTTTGAGAAAGCATCCCCCAAACATTTAGTCATGAAAAATCCCGTTGGAATGGTGGGTCAAGGTAGGGGTTCCGTAGTTATGTGAATGTTGGTTGAAAAAGCCCATCTCACTAGTCAAAAGTATCATAAACCATAACTATTGTACTTCTGTTGGCCAACTTAGCTATTGTTTGGGGCCCAACTTTGTATGTAAATGTGTTTGTGTTTTCCCTTTACATATGAGAAAATGTCATTGGGATATGCCTTAGCTACTACCTGTTTATGAACATATGGGTATCTTTTGCATACCCCCTGGCAATTTAACAAACATACCTGCTGAACATGGATTTAGTGACACATGTCACATGCATAAATATAATTGTATATATACAGTATATATATACATATATATACATATACATAGTTGGGATGAGAACATTGATTACCCTCTGATGGCCAACAAATCTAGTGATTTTGCAGTTCTTTAGAGGCTGGTGATTGGAGTCAAGGAGAAGCACCGCGACTTGGTCGATAGCTGGGAAGTCTACAGGAAATATGATATGACGTTTGTTGTTTGTTTTGTAGGACCTGTAGGCAATATTGGTATACTATCTATCGAATCCATCTATCTATCTACCTATCTATCTATCTATCGATCTATCGATCTATCTATCTACCTATCTATCTATCTATCTACCTATCTATCTATCTATCTATCTAGCACTCTCTCTCTCTCTCTATTTCTCTACCTCTATATGATTATATGTATATATATATATTTAAATATATATATATATATCCATCTATCTATCCATCGATCGATATATCTAATATAATCTATCCAATATAGGTATATCTCGTTTATCTTATCTACCTAATTTATGTTTTCCAATCTAATTTAATCTAATCTATCTAGTTATCTAGCTAGCTATCTATCTTTTGTATAAGTGTTTTAACCATCTGGTAGCAAACATAGAACGAAACTCACCACTAGCGGCGCGGCTCCCCACAAGCGGTCCTTGTGACCAAAGCTATCCAAAGCTTCCGCGAAACTCTCTAAGAGCTTGGCAAGTTGATTCAAAACCTGCAGTTAAGGCCATGGCTATTAGTGAAATAACTGGTTATTTCTATGGTATTGTACATTCTATAAATGGGGTGACTTGTTAGTACTTATAACTGGTATTTCGGGCCATAACTGTGGCAAAGATTTCACAACTGGGCGCGACTGGGCGAAAGGCTACATTTCTTGATGTCTTACCCAATGATGAGCAGACAATTATATATATATATTTTATATATATATACATCACCAACAAGATAGTATGGGAAACTACGGGCATAATCATCTACACATGGTTGATGTTAGTTAAGTTGGACGTTTCTTTCCAACAATTATGGTTACAGCCTGGTTACAGCATGTAACCACTTATGTGATTCCATCCCCTACTTTTTACCCATGGTGGATTGTTTTTTTTGTGAACGCGGGATGGGATTATGATGGATTATGTACTTGAAGCGAACCCTCTTGTTGATTACCGTTGGTGGTGCCCCAGTTCGTTAGCTAATTTGCTACACATAACTCCAATTTCACCGTGGTTTATGGTAGATGTATCATGATATATCTATACTTACTATGGGGTTATAAACCAATTTATAACTACAAATATATCACCTATAACTATAGATATATCACTGATATCACCAATAACTATAGATATATCTGCTATAACTATAGATATATCACCTATAACTATAGATATATCACATAAACCACAGTTACTATGGGGTAATGTTCACCAAGGTTCACATCAGGTTTCGTGGGCAGCACCTTGTACGATTGACGCTGACAATGCTAATGTCAAGTTAGGATTAATAAACCCCGCCGGATTAATCAACCCCCTCTGCCCGATTTTTTTTGTAATTTGAAAACAGGTGGTCCCCCCGGATTAATAAACCGTTTGGCTAGCGGCTAGGACATGATTAATCAACCCCTTTTGCTGAAATCCAATTTTTGTTTATTTTTATTTTTTAATTTCCATTTTTTTTGTTTCATTCTCGTCATGTTTCATCAATCTCAGACAAGTGAGATTTTAAAAATCAAATCTCGTCATTTTTTTTCTGGCACAAGGCTGAGAATGAGCCAACATGGCTGCAGATAATCAACCTCCAGTGCTGATTTTTTTTAACCAAAATTATTTATTTCCATGTTTTTTTAATCATCACTCCTCCAGTGCTGAAATTCCCTTTTTTTCAACCGAAATTCTTTATTTCCAATTATTTTTGTTTCTCATCATGTCTCATGAATCTCAGAACCATGAGATTTCAGCAATCAAATCTCATCAAATCTAATGGAATCTTATGGGACCCATGAGGTTTTAGCAATCAAACGTCATCAAATCCATTGGAATCTTATAGGACCCATGGAATTTTAGCAATCAAATTTCACCAAATCCAATGGAATCGTATGGGTTCCATGGGATTTTAGCAATCAAATCTTTACAAATCTTATCATATCCATTTTTCCCGAATGCGTAGCAAGGGTTCCCGTTTCACTCTGGGGGTCTGGGGGTTGAGGGTGTGTTCGCTCGACGTTGCGTTCACGAGCGCAACCGTTCGCAACCGTTCGCAACCGTCCGCAGGTGTTCGCGCGATCCCCGTATGGCCGTGCCTATGGGAAGTTCTGCAGAGGTGGTCCTTTTTGGGGGTTGCAGACGTGTCGTTGCTTCGTTTCGCCTGGCAGGCGTGGCACTTCGTGACATTCAGACGTGTTCTGGAACGTGTCGAAAGTCGTCTTGCGTGGCAGGCGCAATACTTTTGCGACGTTTTCAGAATATGTGTTGCAGTTTTCTTGGCAGGCGCAGCACTTTGGACGTGTCCATCGTCATTTTTCGTGGCAGGCGCAGCACTTTAGACGTGTCCTGTTGCGTGTTTTTTGCAAATCGCATTGGCAGGGCTGCGTCAAGTGGTGACAAGGTGCAAATTCCGTGGCAGGCGTGGCATTTTGTGTGATGTGCTGAAAATTCACGGAGGCCTCGCACGAAACATCGATTTTGAGGTTGCAATTTTTCAGGTTCTAAGGAAAACTCGTAGGAAAACGTCGATTTTGAAGCTACAAAGTGTGAACTTTGGAAGAAGTCTCGCACAAAATGCTCGTTTTGGTGCTCCCACCTGTCTCGTCTCGCGTCTCTGGTTTTCCCGTGGCCTCGCCGTGTCTATGGGGGAAGCTGCAAAACTTGTCCTTTTGTCATGTTGCCAACTGTGAAAATTGGAGGAAGCCTCGTACGAAATGCTGGTTTTTCTGCATCCACGTGTCTTGTCTCGAGTCGCTGGTTTTCCTGTGGCTTCGCCGTGTCTATGGGGGAAGCTGCAAAACCTCTCCTATTCGAATGTGTCCAAGCAGGTTGTCATGTCGTTTTGCGTGGCAGGCCTGGCACTTTGTGACATTCCAAACTTGTTTGATAACGTGTCGAAAATATCAAAATTGGAGGAAGTCTTGCACGAAATGCTCGTTTTTTTGCACCCACGTGTCTCGTCTCGAGTCTCTGGTTTTCCTGTGGCGTCGCCGTGTCTATGGGGGAAGCTCCGCGCTCCACACTCTACACTTTACACTCCACACTCCACAATTTACACTTTAGACTCCACACTCCACACTTTACACTTTACACTCCTCACTCCACACTCTATACTCCACACTCCACACTTTACACTCCACACTCCACACTCTACACTTTCCACTCCACACTCCGCACTCCAACACTCCACACTTTACTGTACACTCCACACTCCACACTTTATACTTTACACTCCTCACTCCACACTTTACACTCCTCACTTTACACACCACACTCCACACTCTACACACCACGCTCTACACTTTCCACTCCAGACTCCACACTCTACACTTTACGCTCCACACTCCACACTCCACACTTTACACTCCACACCACACTTTACACTTTACACTCCACACTTTACACTTTACACTCTACACTTTACACTCTACACTCTGCACTTTACACTCTACACTCCAGACCCCACACTCTACACACCACACTCTACACTTTCCACTCCACATTTCACACTCCACACTACACTTTACACTCCGCACTCCACACTTTACACTTTACACTCCTCACTCCACACTCTACACTCCACACTCCCCACTTTACACTCCTCACTCCACACTCCACACTCTACACTTTACACTCCACACTCCACACTCTACACTCCACACTTTACACTCCACACTCTACACACCACACTCTACACTTTCCACTCCACACTCCACACGCTACACTCTACACTCCACACTCTACACTTTACACTCTACACTTTACACTCTACACTTCGCACTCTACAATTACAAACTCCACACTCCTCACTCCACACTTTACACTCCTCACTTTACACTCCACACTCCTCACTCCACACTTTACACTCCTCACTTTACACTCCACACTCCTCACTCCACACTTTACACTCCTCACTTTACACTCCACACTCCACACTTTGCACTTTACACTCCTCACTCCACACTCTACACTCCACACTCCACACTCTACACTCCACACTCTACACTTTACACTCCATACTCCACACTCTACACTTTACACTCCGCCTTCTACACTTTACACACTCTACGCTCCCCACTCCACACTTTACACTCCACACTCGTTACTTCACACTCCGCACTCCACACTCTACACTTTCCACTCCACACTGCAGACTGGTAACAAGGGAAACATGTACAAGACTGTTCAAAAAAACTATTGCAGAAAGGTATTGTGCGTGACTGCATAACCATGTGTTTTGACATCTGTGCCATTAACATACGTGTGAGCATTCGGGTTCGTGGGCTTCATCTTGTTTTTGTTTCAGAGGCCGTTTATTTAGGGGGAAAACTGGGAAACACCTTACAAGGTCCATCTGACCTTGTGGGGGGGTGATTAATCCGATGTTGACATTACATGATTCCATGAGAGAACTGGGCAAACTCCGATTCTTGTGGGTGCAGTTCCATCAATAACTGGGACATTTGGGGACCATTAATCCATAGAGGTGTTTGATAACGGTTGGGATGACCCCATTGGATCTGACATCTCCCCATCTTGGTGATATTCCCATGGGATTCCCATTAAAACAGTGATGATATACCGTGATTCTTGGTGATATTCCCATTGAAACTCCTTGGCCCGGTTGGCCCCCCCGGGAATATGGTGATGGATCAGAAGCCTACTCGAAGGAAGTTTAGAAGTCAAACTTCCGACAATATGGACAGATGGAAAAGCAGAGGTGGTAAGAGTCAAAGAAGGGAAGAGAAGAGAAGGAGAAAGAAGATCAAAAAGAGAAAGTCTCAGAAGAAAGAAGATCCAGGTGCGCGAAAAGGAAGGAAAGTCGCGAAACACTCTGTTTTTCCATTGATTTGTGGGTCCGGAGGGTCGAAAAGTAGGCTCGCTAAAGCGGCGGGTGCGGAGCCAGCTGGCCAGATGAGAGATGAAAAAATGCACGCGGTTGTGGCGCGAAGCACATTTGCAAGTGAAAAAGCTAAAAGCACATCACGTTCGGAGCACTTTTTGAAGTTGAGATGTCGAAAAAGTGCACGGCGTTGTGGCGCGAAGCACAGTTCTAAGTCAAAATGTACAAAACACACCATGTTCGGAGCACTTTTGGAAGTTGAGATGTCGAAAAAGTGTACGGCGTTGTGGCGCGAAGCACATTTCGAAGTCAAAATGTGAAAAGCGGACCACTTTTGGATGTTCAGATGTCGTTTCGCGTGGCAAGCGCGCTGGATTGTGCACCTTGTCAAAAGTGAGCAAAACGTGAGGGTTTTGCAGCATTTCCAGAAACGATGGCAGGCGTGGGGCATTTGAAGAGGATCTGCAAAGATGCCTTTTCCGTGGAAGGCGCAGTACAAGAGACATGTTCATCAGAGCTGTTAGGGGGTCCGGGCGCTGATTTCCTGAGAGGGGTTGCATTTTGGAGCATCAGATCTTCAGGTTTGCTGAGTTGATTTTGCGTGACAGGTGCAGCACTTCGTATGACCCGGTATCACTTTTTCGTGGCAGGAGCAGTAGTTTAGACAGGTGGAGTCGCAAAATCGCAAAACGCAATGGTACGAGGCGTCAGCTCTGCACTCAACTTTCCATTTTTGAAGGAAATCTCGCCGAATTGCTTCGTTTTTGATGTTGTCAACTTAAATAATGAGGAAGGGTCGCAGATGTGCTTCGTTTCTGACGTTGATCAAGTTCAAAAATTGAGGATGTCTCGCAGAATTGCTTCGTTTTTGATGTTGTCAAGTTCAAAAACCAAGGACGCCTCGCAGAGTATTTTCGTTTTCAAGCTTGCCGAAAGACAGATAGATAGATAGATAGATCGATAGATAGATCGATAGATAGATAGATAGATAAATAGATAGATAGATTGATAGAGATAGAGATAGAGAGAGAGAGAGATAGATCGATAGATAGATCGATAGATAGAAAGATAGATAGATAGGTAGATAGATAGATAGATAGAGAGATAGAGAGATAGAGAGATAGAGAGATAGAGAGAGAGAGATAGAGAGATAGATAGATAGATAGACAGATAGATAGATAGAAAGAAAGAAAGATAGATAGATAGGTAGATAGGTAGATAGATAAATAGATAAATAGATAGATAAATAGATAGATAGATAGGTAGGTAGGTAGGTAGATAGTCAGAGAAAGAAAGAGAAAGAAAGAGAAAGAAAGAGAAAGAAAGAGAAAGAGAAAGAGAAGTGACCTCAAACACCTTTCGGTCCATCAGTGGATTCGCTCTGCCATCCATGATTCGCAACAACCAACCTCTCCTATAGGTTTCCTGCCCTTGAAACTTCCGCCACCGCCTTGTGCGGTACTATTGGTATTACAAATAATTACCATATAGTGGTTTCCTAAAATGGGGGTACCCCGAAATGGTTTGTTTATAATGAAAAATCCTATGAAAATGGATGATCTAGGGGTACCCCCATTTTAGGAAACCACCATATTTTAGGGGAATAACCATCCATTAATCACAGTTATGGCCATTTATTAGTTATAACTGGTTATAAATCGGATTATACATTCTAATGGGGTATAATGGGGTTATAAGTACATATAACTGGTACTTCGGGCCATGACTGCAGGCATTTAAAGGCACCATCCGGATATTTTTCGGGTGACCGTCATGACCCATAACCAGACTCCGCGCACTCCTGACCTCTGTTTGAAGACTGCATTCCTGAAAGGTCAAGGCGATTCTCAAGAAGGACTCAGAGTTCCTGGGACGTGATGTGCTGCCCAAACGTGATGTGAACGTTGGTGAACATAACCCCCAATTTTAACTATGGTTTATATAGGTGATATATCTACAATTATAGGTGATATATCTACAATTATAGGTGATATATCTACAATTATAGGTGATATATCTACAATTATAGGTGATATATGTATAGTTATAAGTTGGTTTATAAATTAAACCATATAGTAACTATAGATATATCATGATATATCTACCATAAACCATCGTAAAATTGGAGTTATGTAAGCCCCAACTTAGCGATTTTCATCGCTGGGGCACCACCACCTTGTGGACGTGGCGTAGGACTTCATGGCAGTTTCTCCAACGAAATGAAGTATAGCTGGGATTTTTTGGGTACTTCTGAATGGAGGAGTTACCCCCTGGTAACCTAACACATGTACTACTGGGTGATTTAATGGGAAATATATGGAAAATATGGTGATTTATTGGAAACATATGGGAAATATATGGTGATTTATGGATGTACTACCCGACCTGGTAAACTAACAGTTTGCGAACTGGAAAATGGCCATAGAAATAGTGGATTTACCCAGCTACAAAATTGTGATTTTTCATAGTGAACTGTTAGTTTACCAGAGGGTAATGGGAACATTCCCTTATAAATGGAGGATTGAATGAAACAAACACTTATAAATTAGAGGATTTACTGGGAAAATCACTTATGAATGGAGGATTTAATGGTAACTTCCCCCTACTATATGGAAGTTTTAATGGGCCAAAAAAACAACTAAATATGGAGGTCTTGGAGGTCTTAATGGGAAAATTACCATGTAAATGGTGGAGTTTCGTCCAATGCCAGTCATGTTTGATTACCGAAGGGAAATCTAACACTCCCAATGCTACAAATCGTACATTGTAACTTATAACCTTGACCCCAGTTATCCCTAGGGTAAGCAGGTTACCAACCTATTCCCACAGATTCCCCTATATCGGTGAATTTCCCTGGTATGTTCCTCTTCAGCAAAAAAACTGGAGCAATTAAAAAAAACATCAGCAGTGTTCAAGATTTCTGTTTACATATCCATAGAACATGAAAACTACCCAAGATGGCATTACTGGTAGTAAATACCCATAAATAGTAGATTATATAATCCCTATTTTATTGACGGACATGTTTTTTGTCCGCGAGCAGAATTCACCAAGCAACATCGTCCTGCCGATCATCAAATATCATCAACGTAAAACCACCCACTCTTCAATGGCCGTGCAGGACCTAACTTGAATGTACCCACCATATAGAAAGGCCTATGTAATGCAATTCGGAATATCCCCAGAAAACTAGAGTGCATTACATAGGCCTTTCTAGAGACATTACATAGGCCATTCCGAATTGCACGGTAATATATTTTACATAGTCTCAATGCCTCTAAAGGTCCCCAGAAAGGCCTATATAGGTGCCTAAAAAATGCAAAAGGTACCTCTAGAGTCTCACTGACGGGTCCCCTATATCGAAACCCACTGAACGACTCCGGCGGCTCTGCTAAATCTTACTGGTGCTAAACGCAGGGAATGAGGGAATGATCCATAATCACTACATAGTGGTGCCCCAGTTCGATAGCTAAGTTGGTGCCAATATCTCCAAAAACTAGGACTTATGGTTATATCTATAGTTGATGGGGTTATAAACCAACTTATAACTGGGGGGTACCACATTGTAGTAATAATGATCCCATTCCCCCATTCCCATCCATTCCCTACGTTTAGCACCAGTAAATTCGCCAAGCAGCTGCAAAGAAATCGTGGCATAGAGCTTATCTTCTACGCCCACCGGCAAAGCCATGGCCCCGAAGCGGCCTTCCGGCAAATGTTGATCCAAAATGCCTGCGGAGATGGCTGCCAATGATATCAACAGGGGATCAAGTAGGTTAAAACATGTAAAATACCAACAAAAAATATAGCAACACAGCTTACACATGTGTTAAACATATCTTTAAAACAATCTAGTACATGGTACTAATGACTAATCGACTAATTATCATGATCAGTATAACTTGGACAAACATATTCAAAAACTAGTAGTGACCAACCCATATCCATACCATGTCCCCAATTGCTGCTGGCTGAAGATACCCTCTGGTAATTTAACATAGCTATTGAAAATGACCCAGTCGAAATAGTGGATTTTCCCATGAAAAATGGTGATTTTCCATAGCTATGTTAGTTTACCAGAGGTTATATCCCATTAAGTCCCATAAAAACCACCATTTTCCTATGGTTTTCCTATGGTTGTCCTATGGTTTTCCTATGGTTTTCCTATGGTTTACCAAAAAAAAAAATGCTGAACTTCCCTATGTTCGCTGATCTAAAAAAGGTCAAATCCCCCATGTTCACCGAAAATAATCTGACTTGATGGGCCATTGTTTAGCTACAATGTGAGGCCCCCCAGTTATAAGTTGGTTTATAAACCCCATTAACTATAGTTATAAGTACCATAAACCATAGATATTGGAGTTATGTTCACCAACTTAGCTATCTTGGGGGCCTCACATTGTACAAGAACATGTTTTGTTTTCAAAGTAGGCGTTCATATTCTGGGTTCTGTAATTATGGAAAAGTGACTCTGCAAAAAAAAACACATGTATAACAACAAAACTCATCCAAAAGTGTTCAAAACCTGTGTCATCCCTTTGTTCCCCTTGATTCCGCAGCCGCTATTGGGTAGTCTACAGTAATGCCAAACCAAACACCAACGATCCCCATAGTTTGACGGTTCAAATCCCTCTTAAATCCGATATAGTCATCAACGATAGTTTATCACTTATGTTCGATTGAATCATCAAATCATATCCCATCATTTATCACTTATATCCACTTAGATGATCTCAAGATGATCATGTATCACTGGGATATTTATAGTATTTATATGTATTTATCACTTAGATCATCTTTATATCCCAGTTTCATGGTTCAAATCCCCGATTGACGATCATCAACATCCCGCGATCCAGGCTCCAGCACGGCGAGCCGGGCTCAAGTGCGAGCGGCGAGCCAGGTGCGAGCCGGCCACGGCTAAGAGTGGTTCGCAACGCGAAGTGTCTGAAAAGATGAAAATGGCGGATTTACTCACGATTTATTGGATTTGTTTATGGATTTTATGGGCTTTGATGGGGTTTCATGGGATTCTCATGGGATTATCATGGAGATTCAGCCAACCAAAAGCTGAGCCGCCTTAACAATTTAGCCCTTTGGGGTGGTCAGTTGGGAGGGAGCTTGGCTGAATACCCACAATCCTCTGGCAGTTTGAATAGTGCAAACCAAGAAGGACTTTGGATGATTTTGATTTTGAGTATATTTTCAGACAAACCCATACCCTCCAGTAAATTAAGAGTTCGACCCTGCCAATAAATAGGGATTTGGAAATTCGTTGCCGCTACAAATTGGTGATTGTTAGGGTCTGTATTAATTGGGAGGATGGTATTTTAATCACGAACACTTCAGAATTTGGCCCAACCATGAAGGATTCGCTGCAACTTAAATCACCCTTTTAAGGCAGCAACAGGGTGAAGGAAGCAGCAAAAAACAGGAGTTCACCAACAGAAATTGGTGAATTTAAAGAACCAAAAGTGATGATCTCATGCAAAATACCCTCTGGTTATTGAACGTAGCCATGGTATAGATGGCCCATAGAAATAGCTGGTTTACCATGGTTTACCTATTAAAAATGGTGATTTTCCATGGCTATGTTAAATAACCAGAGGGTATATCCCATTAAATCCCACTAAATCCCATTAAATCTCATTAAACCACCATTTTCCTATGGTTTTCCATATACATATGCACGCACAAAAAATACTTCACCTTTCCTGAAATGTTCGGCCTTTGACGGAAACGTACCTCGGAGGTGTCACCAGCATCTACCGACAGTCACACCAAAAACCTAACAGTTGACCCACTTATAAACCAGCTTAGGTAACGACTTCGTGACAATAATCTATAAACAGTATACAGTATATGGATAATGGATATACGGATAATTACGGATATACGATGATATACGTGCTTTTGCGGCTGGATATAGTTCATAACCAATTCGCCTGCCTTGGCCCTATGTTTTTCCAGTTATGGCCCTTTACCAGTTACGAGTACTTATAACCCCATTTATAGAATGTATAATCCCATTTATAACCAGTTATAACTAATAAATGGCCTTAACTGTAGCTGAAATTCCCATTTTTGTCGCCGAATCACGACTCTGCGCGGTAAAGTCCTCATGCCTTTCTGCCAATCGCCCTCTTTGCTGATGAAACCCGCATGTTTCACACGGCGGTGCCCGTGGTGGCCCCAAGGTATGCCTCTCAGTTTATAACCCCCATTTGCTATACATATATCTACTTATATCTACTAGTTAACATTGCTTAAAAACCTCCTTGGCTTTCAACAACTGCAAAAATAAACGCACCTAATACGTCTTGATTACAAATTCCAATTTATGCCCGGTGAAATCACCATTTTTCTACAAACTTGGGGGGCACAACCTCCTGCTGGCAGATGTATGTACAACTTCAATGTCCGCCCATCTTGGACAAACAAAGGAGAATCGGCTGGACGACACTCCACGCGTGAAAAAATGCGTGCTTGTTCACCAGAAAACTTGTCCTCCGGTGTCATCAAACATGGCTGGGAAATCCCATGGGAATGGCTGGAGCGTCATGGGAAGTTGTTGAGCATCTTGTTGGGGATGATATAACTGGTGCTTGACCTACCCCTCAAATATGAGTTCGTCAGTTGGGATCATGAAATTCCCATATGGAAAGTCATAAAATTCATGTTCCAAACCACCAACCAGATAATCATATACTAGATTCACAAAAGCACTTTTCTCACCGTGACGACGCCCTCAGTTTTGTTTTGGGTTTGCCGCATTACATATGATAGAACATATTACCAATTCATTGGTCAATCGGCTAATCATCATGATCCCTACAGTTAAGGCCATTTATTAGTTATAACTGGTTATTTCTATGGGATTATACATTCTATAAATGGGGTTATAAGTATTTATAACTGGTAAAGGGCCATAACTGTAATTAGCAAAAAAATGAAAATGAGATCTGTATTCCCCATTCAAATCTTGGATGTGCTTAACGACCCCTCCAAAAAAAGGTTGTTTTTTTCTACTGGAAAGTACCGTTTATCATCTTCAGCAAACCCAGGCTATTGTTGAATGACATCCACATTATAAATCCCTATGTTTCATGGTTAAATCACCTTTACCATCTGGTAAACTACCGTAGCTATGGAAAATCACCATTTTTGATAGGGTAATCAATTATAAGTGGGACATGTTCAACAAACTGTGGGGCCCCCAAACGATAGCTAAGTTGGTTTATAATTCCCATAACTATGGTTTATGGTACCTATGACTATATAGTTAATGGGGTTTAGAAACCAACTTATAACTGGGGGGCCCCACATTGTAGCTATGTTAGATTACCAGAGGCTAATATCACAATTATGTCCTAGCTTGGTAAAAATAGAGGGGCCGGGAGCTGGTCTACCATCAATCATCATAGAAACCTGTTAAAGGGGTACCCCCTGGTAAACGTTCAAATAACGAACTGGAAAATCATCATTATAGCTGGGTAAATCCACGAACTTTCGACTGGGCCATGGCTTCCAGTTCGCAAACTGTCAGCCAAATTACCAGAGGCTAGATCCTAAATTGGAGGTACGTAAAAGTACCATATTTCTGGCCATATGAATTGTGGGGATATTCCCTGAAATTTAGGCCAAACATATATGGAACAGTTAAGTCCATTTATTAGTTATAACTGGTTATAGATGGGATTATACATTCTATAAATGGGGTTATAAGTAGTTATAACTGGTAAAGGGCCACAACTGTAGGTACCTCCAATAAATCGGATCCTGGAGATCTCCCATTGACAATGGAAAATGAGCTCCTGGGACCAACAGGAAGCGAAGGATTCCGATCTTTCCGGCTGCGAGGCTTTGCAAAAAGCACAACCTGCACGAATTGCGGAAATCCGTGGAAGATCTGAAGAGTTATGGCCCGAAATACCAGTTGTAACTGGTTATAAATGCTTAGTTCTATGTGATGATTATTCCATAAATATCCATAAATGGATATAAATGGGGTTATTTCACTGACTTATAACTGGAAAAGTGTCATAACTGAAGACATCTCTATCCCAGTTTGTGTGTGGTTGACAAGCGTGGTCTGATCCATATGGAGGTTTCTTAAAATGGGGCATCCCCAAGTCACCATGGTTTTCAATACTAACATAGTCTAATGACTTGGATGATTTAGGGGTACCCCCATATGAGTAGCGGACAAATTTATTTGTTAAATTTAATGCCATGCACAAATTATGGTCATCCCCTATCGGTTATGACTGCTTTCTGCACCCTCAGAAAGGTCAAGGCGAAACAAGACTAACTTATATAGTATTACAATCTGGTTGGTGGTTTCAACCCCTCTGAAAAATATTAGTCAGTTGGGATTATTGTTCCCAATACATGGAAAAATAAAAAATGTTCCAAACCACCAATCAGTTACAATAATTTTGTCGCTTCCTCATACATCGATGCGAAAAAAAAAAACTTGCTAAACAATCACCTCTGTATTCTCCATGACTGTTGTTCTACCACATGTTGTATGACCCGAAATGCCGCATCGTTTCTGGCGAAATCTCCAATTTGACCTATACAATGAAGCAATCAAGAGTTTTGTCGTTTGGCTCATGTTCAATCTCCAATAATCACCATGATTATTGTTGTGCCAGGAAATGATAGGAAATGTCTCTGGCTGTGTTTATTCCACCTTTTCGTTGGTCGTCCAATGGACCAAATTGACCAAATCGTAAAATACACGGTTCAACTGGCACAGGGTCCAAGGTCGTTGTTTGTCAAATGCCATTGATGCATGTGGAAAGCGCAACATTCAATACATGGCATACACTAGCGGCCAGCGATAAAATGGTTTTAAGTTTCAACTCTTGGAAGTCTCAATCCGTTTCTTTTACCCTCTGGTAAACGTTCACATAACGAACTGGAAAATCCACCCATTTTTCATGGGAAATCCACTATCACTGGCCATTTTCAATAGCTATGTTAGTCATAACCAGAGGGTAAGGAGATGCTTCTGGAGATCTTCAGCGCCTTGAATCTGAAGGGAAAACATTTGGTGATTTTCTGGCCAAAACACAATGGGCTCAGAAAACCCGGTTGAGTGGGATTGATATACTGGATTTATGATACCCGGCCTGGTAAACGAACTCACATACTGGAAAATCCACCCATTTTATAGCTGGATAATAAGTCAACTATTTCTACTGGGCCATGGCTTCCAGTTCGCAAACTGTAAACGTTGACCACCACCGGGTAAGTTTCTTCGGATTTGAATCACCAACCAGTGGGATGCTGGGACATTTTTCACGGCGACATTTTTCCTCAGCCCGGACAGGTCGGCAAGGGCCCACTCGGCAGCGCCGCGGGCAGCCCCGCGGCCGCTGGGCGGCCTGCGTTGCCGCCCTGTTTTGGCGTCAGCAGGGAATCCTCTTCGTCATCCGCAGTGGCCTGGTCGACTGATCCTACAGTTCTGGCCAAAACTACATAGTGGTGCCCCAGTTCGATAGCTAAGTTGGTGCCAATATCTCCAAAAACTAGGACTTATGGTAGATATTGGTAGATATATCTATAGTTGATGGGGTTATAAACCAACTAACATCACTGGGGGGTACCACATTGTACCAGTTAGTAACTATGGGATTCCTCTGAAACACTGTAAATAATAGGACTAGAAGGGCATAAACGGTATAAACCATCTACCAACTGGTGCAGGATTTCTTCCATCCATAGTAGTTTCTGAAATATTATACCCTCCAGTACATTAACAGTTCGACCCTGCCAGATAGAGGTTGGTTCAGATAGAGGTTGGTTCAGGGTCTATGTTAATTTACCAGAGGATATAATTGGTTACAAATGTTGAATAGATATGGTTATGATTCCATAAATGGGGTTATAACTTATAGATGGAAAAGGGTCATAACATGTCATAACTGTATCAATGGGATGATATACCCTCATGATATACTGGGATATGGTTTAACTTTGGTTTACGGTGATCATGACTATAGTTAGATGGGTTTTAAACCAACTTATAATGATGGAGAGTGGTGGATCATGATGGATACTGATGGATATTGGTGGATAATGATGGATAATGATGCTAGCTATGGTATCAATACATCATAATAATTCGACAAATTATAGAGGTTGCATTGACATTTCCAATGTTGTAGAAAAAAAGGGCAAGCATCAAGATTTGTTACAAACATACATAACTTTGGAACTAGCTACAGTGGATGGTTGCGAAATCCGAATCACTAGTTGATAGGTGGTAAACATCCCATTATTTACAGGGTTTTTCAACTCCATCCCGGTTGGTGCAGGTTGAAGGCTTCCAGGGCTTCCCCCGGTTGCCCCGGTTACCCCGGTTCCACGGATTCAATCTGTGTTTTGAGGGGAGCCTGGGATAAACATGTTATTCAACAGATATCAACAGATCATGTTTCGGATTGGAAGTCTTGATTTTTTTTTTACCAGCCAAAACAAGTATAACAAGTTTTGCTGCTTCAAGTCGACTATGAAATAGATACATTTCTGATTATTGAATTCCCCACTGAATACCTAAGCCTTGTTGATGACATCTCTCCATGCTTGATTGGATCCCCACATTGGGTGGTGCCCCAGATCGGAATCGCAACTTGTTGCTCTGCAAGTAGGTGAATTCTATACATATATATATTTATGACTATATATGGTTTATTGTGGTTATATCTATGATATTCAATGATTATTGATTATTTATGGTTTTCTTGTGGAGATATATCTATGATTATCTATGTTTCTGTATACCGTAGATGATAATGGAGTTTATAAACCAGCAAACATCGCTGGGGGGGTCCCACCTTGCGTCCAAGCACTGCCTGTTGTCGTGGCCAACAGCAGCAGCAGCAGCGCCGCCGTGCGACGTTGTCGTTCGCGGGGGCTGAAGGAACCGAGGAGTCTGTTACCTTGGGGCACGGATGGGCACGGTGATATTCACAGGAAAAAAATATTAACACTTGGAGATTGATATGTCAAAAATGGGGATTTGACTGAGATTTAGTCGTTGCTAAGTTGCTAATCATGATCATAGATGACATAATAATGATGATATTCATCATCATGAATGTCATCATATGGTATGCATAGATTCAGTTTGATAAAACCACAACCCCGATCTGTTTGACGTTTTGAAGTCAAAACTGACAGGCATCACTCTGCATAATACATCACAAGTACATCAAACAACACATCAACAAAAATTGCTTAAACATAACAATCCCTGTGTTGAGTTTAAAACATGGACTGGACAACCAAAAACAAACTTGAGAGGGGGAACACGAAAGGTAGGTAAGCAAGAAAGGAACCGAAGAAAAAATGAAGGAGAGATGGCAGGGAAAAAAACATAAAGTGGAGTCTAGTAAAAGCGACGCGGCCATTTTCTTTCCAAAAATATGAAGGGGAGTCTGGTAAAAGCGACTGAAAGGCTTCGGCGATGTGGTTGGGGTTGGTGGTGGTTGTGGTGTTGGTGGTGTTGGTGGTGCTGGTGGTGTTGGTGGTGTTGGTGTTGTTGGTATTGGTGTTGTTGGTGTTGTTGGTGGTGGTAGTGTTTCTGGTGTTGTTAGTGTTGTTAGTGTTGTTGGTGTGGTTGGGTTTGTTGGTGGTGTTGTTGGTTGGGTTGTTGTTGTTGTTGTTGTTGTTGTGTGTTGTTGTGTGTTGTTGTGTGTTGTTGTGTGTTGTTGTGTGTTGTTGTGTTGTTGTTGTTGTTGTGTGTGTTGTGTGTTGTTGTGTGTTGTTGTGTGTTGTTGTGTGTGTTGTTGTGTGTGTGTTGTGTTGTGTGTGTGTTGTGTGTGTTGTGTTGTGTTGTTGTGTGTGTGTTGTTGTGTGTGTGTTGTGTGTTGTTGTGTGTTGTTGTGTGTTGTTGTTGTTGTGTGTTGTTGTGTTGTTGTGTGTTGTTGTTGTTGTGTGTGTGTTGTGTGTTGTTGTGTGTTGCGTGTGTTGTTGTGTGTTGTTGTGTGTTGTGGTGTGTTGTTGTGTGTTGTTGTGTGTGTTGTTGTGTGTTGTTGTGTGTTGTTGTGTGTTGTGTGTTATTGTGTGTTGTTGTGTGTTGTTGTGTGTTGTTGTTTGTTGTTGTGTGTTGTTGTGTTTTGTTGTGTGTTGTTGTGTGTTGTTGTTGTGTTGTTGTTGTTGTTGTAGTTGTTGTTTGTTGTTGTGTGTTGTTGTGTTTTGTTGTGTGTTGTTGTGTGTTGTTGTGTGTTGTTGTTGTTATTGTTGTCATTCGTTGTTGTTGTAGTTGTTGTGGTTGTTGTGGTTGTTGTGGTTGTTGTGGTTGTTGTGGTTGTTGTGGTTGTTGTGTGTTGTTGTGTGTTGTGGTGTGTTGTTGTGCGTTGTGGTGTGTTGTTATGTGTTGTTGTGTGTTGTGTGTGTTGTGTGTGTTGTGTGTGTGTATTGTGTGTGTATTGTGTGTGTTGTGTGTGTTGTGTGTGTGTTGTGTGTGTGTGTGTGTGTGTTGCGTGTGTTGCGTGTGTTGTGTGTGTTGTGTGTGCGTTGTGTGTGTATGTGTGTTGTGTGTGTGTTGTGTGTGTTGTGTGTGTTGTGTGTGTGTGTGTGTGTGTGTTGTGTGTGTTGTGTGTGTTGTTTTGTGTGTTGTGTGTTGTGTGATGTGCGTTGTGCGTTGTGCGTTGTGCGTTGTGCGTTTGTGCTTGTGTGTGCGTTGTGCGTGCGTTGTGCGTTGTGTGTTGGTATTGTTGTTGTTGTTGTTGTTGTTGTTGTTGTTGTTGTTGTTGTTGTCGTTGTTGTTGTTGTTGCTGTTGCTGTTGCTGTTGCTGTTGGTGTTGTTCTTGTCGGTGTTGGTGTTACCCCTGCAGCGTTTTTGCTCGGTTCCGTAGTGGCCGAAAATCGTCAAATCGGTGGTGTTTTCGCGTGTTTTTGCAACTCTCGGAGCAAAAAACACCGTAAATACCAATGTTTTTGGGGGGTCGGAAGCCCAAAACCACGGTATTTACGATGTTTTTTGCCTCTGGTAGTAAAAAGCACGGTATTTACAGTGTCTTTTGGCCAGCACCTGGCAAAAACACTGGTATTTACGGAGGTTTCACCATGTAGCAAAATGTGGTTTCTTGATCCGAAAAGAACAAAAATACTGTAAATTACAATGTTTTGAGTCTGCTCTTAGGGTGCGTGGGAGGTGTGGAGGGGTGGGGTGGGGGGTACTAAAATGACTAGCAATCTCCTGAAGAATCAATCTCCTGAAGAATCAGGTAACGGGGCTGGCCGCCCTCCCCTTTACTTCGTAAAGTAAAACTCAAGGTAGCCCCTCTGGAGCTACCTTTCGTGATCTAGACATATCGACCAATTGTTGACTGGTGGTTTAGGGTGGTGGTTGGACGGACATTCCCGTTTCCATTTCAGTATTCACCGTTTCCATATTATGAAGTCGAACCGCCACTCCAAATAGGGATTAGCAAAACCAAACTAACAGAAAAAGTGAGCCATACGAAAAACAAATCCAACCTCAAACTAGGGAACAAACAATATAAAATCAACACGAAATCACGGATGGACAAATCAAATTTAGGATTAGCATGATTTTCAAGTAACAGCACCAGGCAGTGCCTACTTTTCTTTAGGTCGAGGGTTCCTGTATCCACATGGCTGCTCCAACCGTTTATTGTTTCACCTCAACTCACAACAACCATAAAGTTAGGCGAAACCGTACTGTAAGATTATGAGTGCGAAAATGTGTGAAACACAATTTTTAAGGGTACAAACGGAGGGTATAGTGACAATTTGCTATAAAAATCTGGTCCCCAATTCAACATCGGGGTCAACAAGCATCCCCAGACCTATATCATTGTCTTGGAGGGTGGTGCATGACGGGGCACCAGCCTGTGCAGACCAACAAACATGGCTCTGTCTGGAAATTGGGGATACCCTTCTGCAGAAATCCTCGGGTGTTTCATAACTTTTCTCTTGGAGATGATTCTCTGATAAAAAACAGTTATACCATCTGGTTATTTAACAGTCTGCCATGGAAAATCACCATTTTAATAGGTAAACCATCTATAAATGGGCCATTTTCCATGGCTATGTTAAATAACCAGAGGGTAGATGATTCACCCAATTGTCAATTCTACTAATATGTTTTTTGGGGGCAAATCAAATTGTGTATGTTTGCTGGTTTCATACACTTAGCATGACCCTTGACAGAAACGACATTCTAAGTCTAGTCTATGATGAATGTGTTTCACTTGCTGTTTTTAATTCATCCCATAATACAAGGTGGGGCCCCCATCAGGTTATGGAGGTTTCCTGTTTCCTAAAATGGGTGGACCCCCAAATCATCAATTTCGAGATGGGATTTCCATGAAATAAACAAAATCTATTGTGGGGAGTTCCCATTTATGGAAGTATAGAATCAATCAACAAACAACCAATATATATATGTATATTATATGTATATTGTATTGTATTGTATTATATTATATTATATTATATTATATGTTATGTTATATTATATTATATTTTATGTTATGTTATATTATATTATATGATATTATATTAAATTATATTATATATATATAGCTACATGACTGGGTGATTTTGTTCGGGTAAATGTTGGAAAAAATCCAGCACCATGGTGCAAGGTGGTCCCCCCCCCAGTTATAAGTTGGTTTATAAACTATAGTAACTATAGATATATCTACCATAAACCATAGTGAAATTGGAGTGATGTGCACCAACTTAGCTAACGAACTGGGGCACCACCCTCCGGGACCCAGCGACCGTCTCCTCGGAGCGGCGGCCGATGATCGCCGGGTTGGCCCAGCGATCGTTCAAGGTTCGGGCCGCGCCTGGCCGTCAGTGTAGATAGTGATTTCCACCAACTTAGTCAACTTAAGGGACTCAATAACTTCTTTTACTACAAATTAGCCTCCAAACAAAAACTTACAGTTAAGGCCATGGCCATTAGTTATAACTGGTTATTTCTATGGGATTATACATAAATGGGGTTATAAGTACTTATAAGTGGTAAAGGGCCATAAATGTAGTAAACTAACAGTTCGATGTGGAAAATCATCTCGTTGTCGATCATTTTCATGGGGGTTCCCCATGTGGCAAATCCACATCTACGTTAACGTTTACCCGAGGGCAAATCCATGAAAAATCCCATATATCATATATGTATACAATATATACATACATTAACACATATAAATATTATAATATGTATGTATGTATTGATATATATACATTAACCAAACATATATATATATATATATACATACATACATACATACATACATACATACAGACATACACACATATCCATATCTGGTTGGTGGTGCAATAACCATATTGAAAAATATGAGTTCTTCGATGGGGAAGATGACATCCCATACATGAAATGAAAAATAAAATTCATGTTTCAAACCACCAACCAGGGATTGTTTATAATGGACAATCAAAGAAATCCTATTAGAATGGATGATTTGGGGGTAACATCCATTAACAAATATATATATATATAAACACACATATCCATATAATGTTAGTAGAACCATAGTAGTCCACCCCATATGTTGCTGTTTTAACCACATACAGGATGGGGCCCCCCAGTGATGTTTGTGGGTTTATAAACCATGAAATAATCCCCATGAACTAGTTCGTTATATCTACCATAAACCATCGTTTTTCAGCCACAAACATAAACCAACTGAACGCGATTTCGACTGGGGGCCCCGGCCATCCTGTATCCATCTATAGCTATCTTGGGGGCCCCATCCTGTATCCATCTATAGATTCCCAAAAAGATCACCTAGTTTTTCCTGGGGTCTAGTCTCGCCCGGGGCACCTCCATCACCTGTACGCTCTGGGGCGACGGCCGCATCCGCATCGACGGCATCGACGTCTCGTCTCACCTCTTCGGGCGCCTTGCGAGGCGAAAGATTACCCATTGTAGGATTTCATAATGGGTTATAACCAATGGGTGTTATAGTTTTATTGAATATAACCAGAAATTATTATTACTCTATTAAATTAACCTATATTACCATATATACGTATAATATATATATATATATATATATATAGCCATGGTATATATAGCCATGGTTAGAACATGCTAGAACAACGGTTATAATGGGTAATATGTTATAAGATTGGTTGTTATAATATGGTTATTATAATGGTTATACCAAATTTTATAATAATATGGTTATTCATTGGTTATAAGCAATGGGTTTTACTTTAATATGGATTAGAATATGTTATAATATGGGATGATGACCCACAGTTATGGAGTTATGGCTCGAAATACCAGTTATAAGTTATAAGTACTAAGAACACACCATTTATGGAATGTATAATCCCATTGAGACAACCAGTTATGACCATTTATAATGGGTATTTCGGGCCATAACTGTAGGATAACAACGGGTTATAGCCATTAATTGTTTTAATATGGGCTATGCTTTAATGGTTATAAATGGATATAATATGTTACAATATGGCGTTTAAATATTTTGATAATGGATTACAGATTACAATGGATTTCATGAGGAAAATCATGTATTTAATGGGAATGTGATATACATCTGGGTTCATTATTTTCCATGGACCCTGGAATTTTTAGGCTCTTGCTGTTCTGCTACTTGAAGTCTCTTGAAGTCACCTTTCATAACCCATCCACAAGAGATTATAATATGGGTGATCCCCATAGTTTCCTGAATAAAATCCCGGAATCCCCCTGGTAAACTAACAGTTTGCTATTGAATCAACTATTTCTATGGCTATTTTCAAGAGCAAACTGTTAGTTTACCAGAGGGTAAAAGCACTATCGATGGTCCAATTTCCAGTCCGCAAACTGCTAGTTTACCAGAGAGCCCTGGAATTTTTAACATAGTTTGATTGTTAAAATCCCTGAAATAGTTTTCAAGAATCACCAGCCAACAGGGCTAGCCATGGCTAGCCAAGGTACTGCGTCCAGCACATCTTCATCCCACTGCAGCGCCATTGCTGCGCGACTTGCGCCCAAGGCAGCGCGGTGGATGAGCGTTGCCACGCGGGGATCGGAATCATGACCTCGGTGACTCGCTGGGAAGTGGCTTGAGACTGTCCGCTGAGTGGGGCCCCTGTTGGATAGTTGGATGGGTTATAACCATAGGAAAACCATAGTAAGACCATAGGAAAACCATAGGAAAATGGTGGTTTAATGGGTTTTAATGGGATTTAATAGCTATGGAATATAGTGGTTTATTGGGATATCTATTGGGATATTTAATGGGATATAATGGAAATGAAATGGGAAAATCGATACCCAACCTGGTAAAGGCTTACAGTTTGCGAACTGGAAAATCCACAAAGTTTATAGCTGGGTAAATCAACTATTTCGACTGGGTCATTTTCAATAGCTATGTTAAACTACCAGAGGGTATATAAATGTTAAGTTGCCTTAGAAAAGTGGCTGAACAAACTATGGTTTATGGTAGATATAACGAACTAGTTCTTGGGGTTTATTTCATGGTTTATAAGCCAGCAAACATAACTAAGGGGCCCCATCCCGTAGATCATGTTACACAGTTTTTGTAGAACATGGCCCATTTACGGATGATTAACGTGTTTAAAATGCTGATTTAATTAGGGGTGTATAAATAGCTGGTCAAAATTGTGGTTTTAACATAACATGAAATGCAATGGGAGTTATAATATGTGGGTACAGTACATTGATTCATAGAAATATTCACTTCAATCAATCACCAGACATCGTGACATCGTGTGTTCCCGTATATGGAAATAACAACAATATCATTAGTGTTGGACAGCCTACTATAATTCACAAGCATTTGCAGCAGATATTGCGCATACGACGATATAAGTGGATATAATGGGGGTATAATGGAAACATAGAACCACTTGAACCATCAACAGCACGAATCCGACTGGGAACATGATAAGTCAGCTCTGAACAATTGACCAATAATGTCAACCCTGGATTAATAAACCCCAAACGGCTGCTTAATTGGATAGGTACCATAAACAAGGTATCATAGTGTGACTATTTGGGATACCCCCACAATTAAGAAAAAATGGTTCAGCAAAATCGGGGGATAACATTATTATTCAGGAGTCACTGAAGATGGGATTTTCTATGTTTTTGCGGCGGAAAAAAAAACGTGGTATTTGCCCTGACATGGCAATGGTTGATCATCCCCTCCAACAAACAGGACTCGGGAAAAACCCGATCTGGTCAACGTTTACAGTTTGCTAACTGGAAAACCACCATTTTGAATAGGTAAATCAACTAGCAAAAATATAAATGGCAATTGTCAATAGCAGACTATTAGTTTACCAGAGGCTACCAGTCACATTTTTTAGAAACAAAGCCATCAGTCACTCAGTCACCCACCCTTGGGTTTTCCTGCTGAAGTTTTGGAGCTCTTTCAAACGCGCTTCCATTTTCACCTCGTACCATGACCTTCGCAGGATGCCAAAAAAATGGTCGAAATCTTGGTGGAGACTCTTTTGGAGATCCCAAAACTATGTGGGGCGGCCCCCGTTTACGATAGCGAAGTTGCTTTAGAATTCCCATAACTATGGTTTATGATACCTATGACTATAGTTAATGAGGTTTAGATACCAACTTATAACTGGGGGGCCCCACATTGTAGTTATCAAACAGCAAACATATCATGAGATATCCAGCTGGACAGTCTGTGACTGTCGGCCAAAAGTTTTGAAGCAATAAACGTCGACCATCATAATTCAAAAATTGGACTTCGAGCCACAGCTTGGATGGTTTCATCACTTTGTTTCAGATGCTTCAGTCAGTTCACTCGCAATATAATGAATATGAATGAATGTAAGTAGCAACATGAACGGACTACATTGGTAGTGTTAGTAGTTCAATGCTAGTATCGCTAACTTATGTAGTTAAATTTGTTAAAAGTTAGTATCATATATATATTGTTAAATGTTAGTATCACTACACTGGAACACATGTTCAATAGCGATAAAGATCGGGATCGTCCCCCTGATGGATGACCTAAATCACGACATGTTGAAGTCTGAAAAAGTTATGCTGCAGAAATGGATGTGCGACAGTTGATTTACATAACTATATACAGATTCATGTATATATATATATTGTGTATATATACTGTATATGTATAATTGGAGCTTGTGAGGGATCTAGAATTGCATCCATTTTTGAAGAACCAGGTTTTGGTTTTCAATCACATCCCTTTGGAAGCAGGGGCGTATTTTTTAATAGGGTGTGTTTTTATAAAGGCCCTCCTAAGAGATCTTCATGTAGGGATTCAAATGAATCACATGTATATAATTATATACACACACACATCTATATATATATATACTTATATAAATTGATATACCACATAATGCAGTCAGAAATGTTGATGACCTTGAAGGCCAGCGATGCCATGGCGGTCGTACAGTAGCGGGTGAACTATCTCGGGCTCGTAGCTGAATCGCGCTGAATCATGATGAATCAGCAAGCATTGAGGTCTAATTTCTACCCGCATAGATTCGTCGCAAACTGGAAAATCACCATGTTGAGCTATATCTTAATAAAGAGGGTACCATTTGGTTATTTTAACATAGCCATGGAAAATCACCATTTTTAATAGGTCAACCAGCTATAAATGGGCCATTTTCCATGGCTATCTTAAATAAAGAGGGTAACCAGAAAAGGCCCGTGGCCCGATCAGCGTTTTTTCGCATGTTCGAATCACGAATGCCTTCCGTCGCAACGCGCCTGCCCACGAGTGCGGCACCCTCTTTTGAACTCGCTAACGCCTCAAACAGCGCCAGCGCACCGTTGATTCGCCTGGCGTGGATCTCTGCGGAACTCAATCGCTCAGTTGGCTAAAAAAATCACCACAAAAGAAAACATCAACTAAATATATATACATATATATATATATCTATATATATATCTATATATATATATATATCTATATATATATATATATCTTCCATAAACCTTACTCAGACTCAAGCTAGGGTATTTCATGTTTCCAGCAACTTGTTGTATCGGATTATCGTTGCACCAACATAGCCTGGGGATACCTGGGGTCTGGATTGAATCCGTGGCCTGGGAAAATATGTTTTTTCCACTTAAAAACCATCTTCAAATAAATTGTATGGCTATATACCATCAATATACCACAAACATAGCAAGTTATATTACCATATGGTTTTTAGATTGCTATATAAATGGCTCTCTATATATATATATATACATATATATATACATATATATACATATATATATATATAAATATATATATATATATATATATATATGGTTACCATTAATATAGCATTAATATAGCCATCTATAGTAACTACTCGTACCATTAATTCACCCTGAAACTTGCTGCCCTTTTGGGATGATTCCAGGCTTCGGGAGACGACGGGTTCGGTCGTGATGAAATTTGCTGAGAGGAGCCGTCGTAATTAGTTTGTAGGACAAAGCGAAGGAATAGTCATAACCAAATGTTCAAAGCAAAGATTGTTCATTTTGCTAGGAAATGATGTCCCAACAGCTAAGAATCATTCAGAATTACAATTTATTATATCAATTTAGAATAGTAATAAATCCCGCAAGCAGAACAGAGGCTACAGTCCATCAGAATCGGTACAACGCCAACAAATCATTTGGGTTCCAAGCAGAATTCACAAACAAACATTGATATTGAACCGATAGAAATTTGGATTTAAAGCAAACGTGGGGATTCGACTGAAAAAACATTAGGTGGCCAGAACAAGTATATAATTATTATCGAAGGATATATTTGGTAGAATTATCGAAGGAAGTTTAGAAAACAAACTTCCGACAATATGGACAGATGAAAAGCAGAGCGGGAAGAGGCAGAGAGAAGAGGAAGATTAGAAGAAAGAAGAGTAGAAGAGAAAGAGTAAGAAGAAAGAAGATGCAGATGCGCGAAAAGGTAAGAAAGTCGCGAAACACTGTGTTTTTTCCAATGATTTGTGGCTCCGGAGGGTCGAAAAACAGGCTCGCTAAAGCGGCGGGTGCGGAGCCAGCTGGCCAGATGAGTGATGAAAAATTGCACGCCGTTGTGGCGCGAAGCACATTTTGAGGTCAAAATGTACAAAACACACCAGCTTCGGACCACTTTTGGAAGTTGAGATGTCGAAAAAGTGCACACCGTTGTGGTGCGAAGCACATTTTGAAGTCAAAATGTACAAAACACACCATGCTCGGACCACTTTTGGAAGTTGCGATGTCGAAAAAGTGCACGCCGTCGTGGCGCGAAGCACATTTTGAAGTCAAAATGTACAAAACACACCATTCTCGGACCACTTTTGGAAGTTGAGATGTTGAAAAAGTGCATGCCTGTCGAAAAAGTGCACGCCGTTGTGGCGCGAAGCACATTATCAAGTCAAAATGTACAAAGCACTACATGTTCGCGAAACTTTTGGAGGTTCGGATGTTGGAAAAGTGCACGCCGTTGTGGCGCGAAGCACATGTCCAAGTCAAAATGTACAAACCACACCATGTACGGACCATTTTTGGAGGTTCAGAAGTCGTTTCGCGTGGCAGCCGCAAGGGACTGTGGACCTTGTCAAAAGTGAGCAAAATGTGAAGGTTTTGTAGCATTTTCAACCACAACTACCACTACACTACACTACACTACACTCCAATACATTACACTACACTACAACAACAACTACAACTACACTTCATTACATTCTACTACACTACACTCCACTACGCTACACTGCACTCAATTACACTCAATTACACTACACTGCACTACATTACACTACACTACACTCCACCACACTACACTACATTACACTACACTACACTACATTACACTACACTACACTACCTTCCACTACACTACATTACACTACACTACACTCCACTACATTGCATTACACTACTCTACAGTACATTACACTCCACTACACTACACTACACTTCACCTACACCTACAACTACACTCTACTACACTAAATTACACTACACTACATTACACTACACTACACTACATGCCACGACACTCCACTACACTACATTACACTACACTACATTACACTGAATGACACTGCACCACAGATAGACAGGTACACAGATAGACAGATAGATAGATAGATAGATAGATAGTTTGCGAGATAGACAGCTAGATAGACAGATAAAGAGAGAGAGAGAGAGATAGATAGATGGATAGATAGATAGATAGATAGATAGTTTGCGAGATAGACAGCTAGACAGCTAGATGAAAGAGAGAGAGAGAGAGATAGATAGATGGATAGATAGATAGATAGATAGATAGGTAGTTAGATGAGAGAGAGAGATAGATAGATAGATAGATAGATAGTAGGTAGATAGATAGATAGACAGATAGATAGATAGACAGATAGATAAATAGATAGATACATACATAGATAGATAGATAGATAGATCGATCGATCGATCGATCGATAGGTAGGTAGGTAGGTAGATAGTCAGAGAAAGAGAGAGAAAGAGAGGAGACCTCAACGACCTTTCGGTCCATCAGTGGCTTCGCTCTGCCATACTCAATGTTTGACAACGTTTGACCCTGGCCCTTGCGATCGCTCTGCTCTTTTTGCCCGCCCCGTGGCTCAAGCCTGGCCGCCCCCATCTCTTTGGATGGCTTCTACTCTTCGCCGGTTCTCTTCAGTCAACCAAGTCCAACATCGCCTGCAGACCTTGATGGCGTCGAACAACCCGTTGCCCAACCACCGGCAGCCCAGGTCGCGATGTGCTAACCTGCTGCGGTCTTCTCTGGTCACGAATAGTAGGTGATCCGGACTTGGGGGGGTTCTGACGCAGGTCCGGCACAGGTGTACCTCGCAGGCGTCAGCATACAGTACACAGGCACATCCCACGGTATGCACTGTTCCAGCTGTCGACTTGACAACCAGTAGGCCCCGGATTGCTGCAAAGCAATCGCCACCAGCACCGTGCTAAAATAATAATGAAGTTGTCACAGCTGCCGCCCTTGGTACGCGAGCAGCTGGAAAAGTGACCTCAGAGTCCTTAGAATCCCAGGTCCTTGGAACAACAGGTTACATTCCTATGCAGCTTCGTGTGAATCCGTATAACGACATTCAACAACCGTAGCAGCAACTTTAGCAAGATACTTTAAGACACTAGTGTCACCATTAAGAGTCGGCCAACCAAACCTAGCCGTGAGGGGGTTTTGAGGCTTAACAGGCCTGTTCTCAAATTGAGGACAAAACCAAGCCATGTGCTCCCAGGTAGCAACAGAGCAAGAGCAAAAAGGGCAACCCAGCTCATTATCTTGTTTCATCTTGGCCAAGGCAGCAGGGGAAACAGTAGCCCCCAAGGCAACATGTCTCTGCCAAGCATTGTCTTTAATGCCAACACGCAAAGCATGGAAATCAATTTCATCAAAAAAGGAAACCATCTGTTCAACGGAATAATCAGACAAGAACTGTCTAGGCTCTCGTCGTTTTTGGCACAACCAGGCACGGAACTGCGCCTCACGCCAGGAATTTCTAATGAAGTGAAGGGACTCACCCAAACAGTCAACAGGGGTATCCAAAGAAATGATACCATGTTTAGATTGCCAACCATGAGGGGATCTTTCCGTCCACCCAAGTTTCTGAAGAGACTTGCGAAGCCAAGCAATGGAAGAACCAAAACAACCATTCCAAGTGATCAAGCCAGCGTGGAAAAGCTTAACCGTACGAACCCAGAGGCGTTGTAAGATAACAGCAAGAAGGTAAAACTTAGCCCCATAGACGACCTTACGGAGGACAGGGGATGCCATACGGGCAGTATTATGAGTGGCCTGGTTAAACAAGGAAAAGAACTTGTCAGCCGTGGCCTGCGTGGGAGGTTGGGCAAGCCAACCATAGTTGAGCACAGAGAGGACGAACAGTTTGTATGCTTCTAAGGCTCGCTCCCAAGGGAGACCCACACTTCTGAAGAGAACAGCCCTCAAATGAGCTTTGTCAATTCTGTCCTTCTCAACCTGATGGTAAGCACGTTTGCGACTTACAGTTACAGCACCAAGCATGCGCATGTCAGTTTCAATCCAACTTTGAGGCCCCTTGGCCAGTAAATCGAGGTGTTTTTTCCCTTTGGCAATCACTTTGGTCTTTTCAGGACCTTCCTTAAGGCCAACGCTTAAGCTCCAAGCTTCCCACCTGGAAATCTGGGACATCACAGCGTCCCAACAACAGGTATGCAAGGTTCTGTCGTCCATGTACACTTTCAAAGTGCACCGGTCATCATGAGTGGCCCTAGCACCTGCACTTGTCCACACTGCCAACAGGAGAGGCGCAAGGGGACATCCCTGCGGTGTGGCAGGGGCGTGAACTGGAAAAGACAACGTTTCATTTTCCCAGCTGATCCAACGGTGTTGTTGGCCCCAGGCTTCATAGAGAAGATCGCAAATCTCAACAGGCCAGTTCAAACGCTTAAGCAGCAAAGTACTAACCTCAGGGCGCATTCGGTCATACGCTTGTTTGAAGTCCATAGTTGCTAAAAAACCATGGTGTTTGGCCAAACGGTCCTGGAGCGTGTGCGCAATGAGTTCTGCCCCAAACGCACCCCGCCCATAGCAGACGCTTTCATGCAAATTGAGCTTATGCCATGTTTGAACAGAATTAGATTGAAGAAGGGCAGAAGCAAAACATCTCCAAAAAATGCTCATGACCGTAATGGGTCTCGTGTGTTCGGGCTTTACGCGCCCAAGGTGAGATTTACCCGGCTTGGGCAAACTGATCTGCTTTGCCTCTTTTAACTGCGAAGGCAGTTTCTTGACAGAGAACCATTGACGCACAATAATGCTATGCCAAGTTTCGATAGCTTTCAGCGGCAGGAACTGGAGTTCATGACCTGACCACTGATCAGGGCCAGAAGAGCCCTTGGATTTGCGTACCGCCTGCCAAAGGTCAGCAACAGTAATGGTTTCCCACACAACGTTTTCGGTAGGTCCAAAATCCTGAGCCAAAGTGGCGGCCGCCATCTCAGCGGGGACATTTTGATCAGCCCAAACCGATTTCCAATAATCAGCAATAGCCTGTGCAGCCTCTCGGGGAGTGGTGGTAGAACCAACACTGACATTTTCAAAAATAGACACTTTGTTTTGAAGCCACCTGCTAAGAGGCCTGAAAGAACCCGCAGTCATCTGTGATTTCCAATAGCGAATGTTGTCATTTTTTTGCTTAGACTCTTCTCTGGTTTGTTTCATCTGCAAATTTTGAATGCTCTCTTGTGCTCGAAACAGGGCATCATGAGGCGATATGTTTGCAGCTTCTTCAGGCCAGAGCCGTCTAAGAAGAGCGGGATCAGCGTGCCCGTGACGTTGAACCTGACGTACCACCTCATGAAATCTGGCCAAGTTCCTACGCAGCTTGCGCAGGGATTCACCTGCGGCCGGGTTACCTGCCAAACGAGTTGCCGAAGTGACAAACTGATGCTTGGCAACAGCACCTTTTTGATTCTGACCTGATTGTCTCAACATGGTCCGGGTTTTTCTTTCCATCTCACCGTCAGCCTGAGCATGAATGCCAACAATGGCAGTGCGATAGACCTTATTGAGAGCAAGCATGTATGTATCCCAAGTTTGTTGCAGGGTGCAAATATCAGGAGAGTTGACATTAATTAAATTTTTGAGCTGGAGAAAAATATCATCAGCATCCCAGAGAGAATCCCAAGTGGAATCAAGGGCTTCCTGCCACTTTTCAGAAGAAAGCCCATCAGGTTTTTTCCAAACAGCAGCCGGCTTCAAACGACCTCTTCTGTTGTCACGACCCTCAAAGCAAAGTTCAAACCAAACCCCTTTATGGTCGGAAAATTTCACATCCGAATTAACCCAAGTGGAAGCTACGACTGGGCGACTTTGGAAAGCCCAATCAATGATCCGTCGACCGTTCCATCTTGTGCTGGCGTTTTGTCCAGGAACCAAGGTACCGCCATGAGCCGTAAAAAAGGAGGCAATGATTGAATTGTGAGGTTCCTCGTTGGCATCACCCAGTGCCAACCACACATGTTTTCGCATGTGAGCAGCGGCCCAATAAAGGCCCAAAGCTTCCGCACCCACAGCACCGTGCTCGGGAGGAAAATAGAAATTAATGAGGTGTAGCCCTTCAAGCCATAAACCCAGGAGCTGGGTACACTGATGCGTGATTTCAGAAGCTAAAACGTGTCTGACAGATTTGTGCACCAGAAAAGCCAAACCGCCTCTATGCTTACGGATACCCAAAACATCCGTGGAAATCCAACCAGAAGAAAAATAGCACTTGTAGCCATCTTTGTTGGCAAGTCTAGCAAAAGCCTTTTTTTCATTTTCACTCATGCAAACTTCTTAAACACACAAGACATCGGCTGAGAAATAGGCTTCAGCCCTCAGCCGCCACATAGCAGGTGCTCCACCAGTGTTAGCGGAAAAAATCTTGAGGCCAGAACGAACAGTAGGGCCTCTCTTGACAGAGAAAGCCGCATCCCCAACTCCCATTGGAGGACCTGGGTTTTTAGCTTCTCCTATTCTTTGGCCAAGCCACAGAGACCAAACCTGAGAGGATACAAGCAAAACGGTCCTGTGGCTTGGCAGAAAGGTCACTCGGAAACCTGAGGTTGGTTTTTCGACTTTTTGACCTGAAACAGCTGATCCACCTCATCCATGGTCCAACCAGTAGCAGCCAAAAAAGCATGCATATGCTTGGGGGAACGGGACTTCATATTGCCCCACCAAACTCTTCTGCCCAAGACGACTTGGGGTTGATCCTTATAAGCCCGTAACATTTGCTTGCAAGTGCGAACAGTCACCATGGCACGGGAAGTCGGGGCAAGACACTTCTTGCAATAATACAGATTGGGGATTCTGTCAATGTTCTGTTTATAATCAAGCGTAGGGACCTGAACAACAGTGTGCGTGCGAAACTTTTTCTTGCGAAACTGAGCCCAGGCATCCGTCCGAGCCTTCTGCACAGCCAGCTTAGGTTTACCACAGGAATTCTTGTCAGCCAAGGATTTCGGGTTTTCCCCAGGATGCCTTTTGCAATGCTCACGAATGGCTCTGATCCGAGCCTTGTAAGGCAAACACGGTAAACCTTCTTTGCAAATAGGGCATTCCCAGTCTCTTTCATGCTTGGGCAAAAGCGAAGAAGTTTGAAAAACCGTAGCTTTAGTTCTTTTGACCAGGTTGACATCAAACTCAGGATGGCGAGATTTCAAATGCCTAAGTTTTTTGCACGACAAACCATTGGTGGTGTCATCCTGAAATGTGATATGACAAACAGGGCATACCCAAGTGTGCCCGGTGACACGTGGGAAACTCTGTATTTTCCCAGCAACTCCCTTTTTCTGATCACCGCTACATGTAGCGGCGGCGCCACTGGAAAGTTTTTTGCCCTTGCCAGACTTGACGGATTTGTTTGAACAGGGCTTGAGCCACTGAGAAACCTTAGAAGAAGCAGCACTGCGAACATCCTCTGGCGGCCTTAGCCACTTGCTTACACCTGACGATTCACTGGCAGGAGGTGGAGGCTTGAGCCACTTCGAAACGTTAGAGCTGCTACTCTTCACGCTTTTTTCCTCGGATGAAATCCGTTTGATGACCCTGCAGTTCAAGTTGGCCTGACCGCTGCCTGAACTTTTGCCACCACCTATAAAGCTAAGATTAGCCTGTTTCTCTTCTTCATCGAGTCCCAACTCCTGCCATTCATCAGGAAAAGTGACATTGGAGGGAAGGGTCGTAAAGTGCCCATCTTTCAGGAAAAGGACAAGAGGAACCGAATTACGAATATATTGAGGGCGACTTCTAGTCAAAAAAATCCACTTGGACTGCAGTGTTCTGTATTTCCAAACCATGACTTCCGTCTGAAGGACTTCGGCACAGGCCTGAGTAAGCCAGGGGTCCAGCCACTTTTTTTCCCGTTGGATAACTTTCAAAAATTCTTCAACTGTTTCAGCAACTGCTCCAGCCTCAGTCTGAACGGTGGCTTCCGGGTCGTTAAACCAAGATGCCTTCCAACCATCTTGAGAGCTAAGTTGCGCACAAGCTTTTGCTCGGAGAGAGAGGCTAAGTTTGGTGATCTTGCGCTCTATTTCTGGCAGCTCCATTTTATTCCTGAAAGCAACCTGAGCACTCAATGCTCTGAAGCCGCAATCACCTGCCCCACCAAGGTCCCACATGGGAACATTGGAAGGGCCCAAAGCGGAAGAATCATCCAAAGCATCAAAACCTCCAGGGACCGTCTTTGGCACTTTGTGCTTGGGAGGTGTGTTGATAACCTGCCTTTCATCAGTGTTTCTTTTGCCGGTCTTTCCAACATCATCCATAGCACCTCCCTCTGTGGCTTCAGCACCATCCTCAGGAGGGTCAGGAATTGTAGGAGCCATAGGCTCATCTTGCTCCTTGTCTTTGCTGTCATTGGTTCCCGCAACGACAGTGAGCCAGCTTTTTCTCGCATGCAGAGGCGTACAAACCGGTTTTTTGGTCTTGGCAACCCAGGGATTAATCAAAATCTGCTTCCCATTTTTAAGGCATAAAATCATGCCAGCCTCCGTGGAATCTTTGGGGGGGGCGCCTTTATACGTCCAAATACCACCTTTGTTGTTCGGGGGTTGAGCATCCGACAGAACCCTCCATCCATGCTTCGTGAGAGTGTCTTCAAATTGTGAGGGTATCCAATTGGCAGGTACACCTCTGGCAGCCCAGCGCTTCACAAGAAGCTCTTGCGAAGAGTTTTGATCCTGAACCCCTATGATACCCAAGCAGCTTTTGGTGCCTTTACGCAGAGCAATTCCTGCGTCAACATCACGAGCCTCTTTCCGGGCCTGAGCAAGGTACTGAGCATTGGTCATGTTTTGTTCCTTAGCCAACCACTTGACAGGTTGCCTGGCGGGTTTATCCCCAACAGTTGCATAAAAGGCATGCTTGGCGCCCGATTTTTTGACAATCGTGACAGCATTCTCTTCAGAGGTCCTGATGAAACCCATGACAACCTCTTCCTTTTGAATATAATGCCAACCATAGGTCCTCAAAAAAATACCATCGGGCAAACATAATTTCAAAACTTCGACAGGCTTCTGCAAAGCAAGGTCCCACATGGACGAACTGAGAAACTGCTTAGAAAAGGTCACACGAACAGTGACCAATGGAACTTCAACCGGATCCTCAACACAAGAAACGGACTTGGGAGTGACCGGCCAAGTTGGGAAGTTTTTGTTCAGGGGAAGTGCCCAAACTTGCTTCCAACGACCAGTTTGCAATTTGATCCACTGAGCCACACATCCATGCTTGGCAGCCAAAGTGGCATCCGTTAAATCAGCACACACAAGGCAAAATTCTTTGGTTATCTTGTGAGCTTCCGCAAGAATCCGAAAATTAAGACATTGTTCAATGCTAGAAACAACTAAGGACCCAGACGGTTCCTCCCCTGACTCCAAGGCATTAGACACTTGAGTGGGGCGTGCAATATCCCCCTTCCACCAATTCTTGCAAACAGTTGGCCAAGAATTTGACTTAGGCCCTCGAGGAGAGGCATGGCTCTTGGGCTGTGCATTTTTGGGCCTCCCAGTTGGTTGGCTAGGAGTCTTAATCTCAGCTTCCGACCAGCGTTGTACCAAAGCGCGCAATTGATTGATGAGGTCCCCAGTGCCATGCGTCTCAGCAGCCAAAACAATAGCCTTGAGTTGAGCAATAAGAGAGGAATCCTTAGTCTGACCATTTTCCTCAAAGTGGACTTTGCGCTGAGAGGACAAAGGAGCAGGGCCTTTCCCTTTCCCTCCCGCATTTGAAGCGGAAGAGGCGGAAGGGGCTTTGCCCAAGCCACTACCCTTCGCTCCCTTGTTTTTCTTTCCCTTGACCTGCCACTCAGGACTGGGACTACGGCTCCTATTGGACAAAGAAGACGCAGGCGAAACATCCCTGTAGGTAGTCTCCTGTCTAACTGACGGACGCCCTCTGTGTTGAGGACTCTCATTGTCATCGTTGAAGTCATTTAAAGAGGAAAGGAGTTTTTTCAAACCATCAACTAGAAATGACTCTTGTCTTCGTCTCTTCGTCGCTGCTGCACCAGCAGCACCACCTCGAAACATGACCAGCCTACTGACATGAGGCCTTTGAAAGGCTTTTTGCACAACATTCGCTTGAGAAGCAAACGAACCCTCACGGACAGAACCACAAAACTTTCTGCGCATTTCGTTCTGCAACCAGCCTGTCTTAGCAAAATGCTTTCCTTGAAGCCAAAAAAAAACCTGCGAGCACGTAAGGTCCGAGCAATGCGTCGATTTTTCAATCTGGCATGTGGTTGGCGCATACACCCAGCCCATCTACATGTTTGAAAGCAACGTTTCCGGCTGCCATCGGCTTGGGAAAAAGTCTTTTTTCTAAGGAAGCGATGCTTCTGTTGCTGCCTTCTTTTCTTTCTTTTTTTGTATTCGGATTTGACGAAGCCACCAAACAGCCCAGCCCCAAAAAAACCAGAGGCTCCCAAAATCAACCAGCCCCAGCAAGGCGGATGGCTCCTTATAACCAAAACAGCATCTCCAAAATCCCCAGAGGAATTTCCAATCCAACTAGGGTCAAACCAGCCGTCGCCAGTGAATTGCCAAGAGGCACCAAAAGAGAGATTATTGCCGGGCCACGGCGCAGTGCCAACAGCAGCGGCAAAAGACGCAAATTTGTCACATCCAAGCGCTGCCACTTCACTGCCATTGCTTTGCCCACCCACGCCCCGGGAGCCATTTAGGCTAAGTCCAAATTGCAAATCCAAGAGGCTTGTGGGTAAGGAAGGTGAATTAATTGCAGTCGGGTCGCTGGTAGAGTTCGTCGGTGAACAGCCAGCAACAGCAACAGGAACAAACCAAAACCACAACAGCACAGCCAACAGAGGGAAGGAGAACATCCGACCCAAACAACCAAAAACCCGCGAACATTTGTACCGACCCTTATTTTTGGGCTCTTCGGCCTCTTGTAAAGCTCTGTCAACATTCATATTCTTGATGGGCTCACCGGCCACACTGTCGCTTTTTTCATCAATTCTTTTGTGATTTTTTTTTCATTTTCTTTTATTCTTTTCTTGTTCTTGTTCTTTTCTTCATTTGTTCTTTTTGAATCACACAAAGTCTTTGGAGTTCCCTTCGCACTCAGCAAATATGCCAAGCCCGCCATCACCAGCACCGTGCTCCATGTGCCAAGGTCGTTGTGGTGCGGTTTGGGGCTGAGGTTTGGCCTGTAAAGCGCTGCGACGTGGACAATCAAACTTCAATTGAATCAACTGAACAGCTTCAATCCTAGCAACTTCACAAGTACTGGCTTCAGTTCTACAGTTCTAACATTACGGCTTCAGTTCCAACCACTTCAACTTCGGTGTGCCAGCTAGCCATCACAAGGCTCCAGGCCACACCCTTAAGGACCAGGGTTCTGGCAGCCTAGTGGTCTGTTACTTGCCCTGCCCTTTGCCCAGGGGGGTTGAACCCCCAAAGGGGGCCAAACCAAGGCAGAGCAATAACGGCCAGATAGGCGACAGCCAGTGGGACAACAGGTCCTGATGATGGCTTTGTTGCTTTGTCCTTTTCCTTTCTTTCTTCCTGTTGTTTGTCTTGCCTGTGGTGGCTGGTGCTGGTGCTGCTGCCTTGTGGTGGGCAGTGGGTATGATGTTGAGAGTTTCTATTTTAGGGTTAAAGGGTTTAGGGTTAAAAAAGATTTAGGGTGACGGTTAAAGGTGGATCAATGAACAGCTTCAAACCCTTGCTAACTTGGGCCTTCCTCCCATGTTAACTCCTCGATGACAAGGCCTTTCTTGAGCTTGCTGGAATGCATGTGTATATGTATGTACGTGTCCATGGATGTATGTATGTATGTATGTATGTATGCACGTAGGAAGACAGCATTCAATAAAGGAGGTTTGAGGCCCTAACAGGAATCTTCAACATAGCAATGCAGCAACCTCTCAAAGTAAGCCCTTCGTTTGAGGCCCCCCAAAGTTCAATCTTCCACCATCGACATCCCATCCTCGCTGCCATGGTTATAAAAGCTG